TGATTCATTTAGCCAAGTATTACTGAATGTTTTGAGTTATTTACATATATTTATTGATTTTATGAACGTTTGGTGAATTGAAATTGATAACTAGGTTTCCACACGCATCGGAGCGCCTCTTGATGTCGGGACACAGTCCAGTAAAATAGGAGTAGCTCCGAACGAGGTTTCATATGGACGATAAACTATATCTGAGTTAGTTAGTAGAGGCGTCAGGATAAGTTAACTTGGTCGGCCAGCTAACTTGGACGAAAGTCATCAAAGAACAAGGTTGCGCAGTTAGAATGAGAACTAGAATGGCCTTTCCCGTTCCTGTTGCTTTTCCAGCATGAAGCATTACTCACTGATAAAGCAAAAACGGGCAGCGTTAATTAAAAAACGAAAACAATAGCCTTAGCCTATTAACACGAGGTTTCCTTAGTCCGTAAAAAATTACGCGACCTTCATTTGATGCCGGCCGTCTCAGTCGATCTAGATAGGAATTCTGTTATATGGCTCTATGTGATTTTTTTTTCCATCTAGCTTCCCGAGAGCCGTAGTGAGGCCGGAGGAGGTTAAGATAATTTTACTGGTGCCATTTTGAAAGGAGTTCTCAAAGCAACAGCAGCAGCAGCAGCAGCACTCCCGTTGCTCCGTTCGGAGCCCGGGGGCAGTCGACAACTGTTTGCCACGAGGTTGCCATAACAACGCCGCCGGTTCAGAACTACCTGACCCCTACGGAGCTACTCCGGAGCAGCCTCTGAATGCCTCCCTGTCTACAGGTAAATTGATATATGTGGGCATGTCTATGGATCGCAGGTCATCCACCATCTAGATGATGCTCTACTCCGAAGTTGCTGGTACAATACGAACATTGCATGCCACCTAGCTTACGATCCTTAGCGTTTCCTCGATACAAATTGCTTATTTATTCAATATATCGTAAGGTATTCATAAGCAAATACGTATTCCGTTTTTTGACGGGTTTCAACCTGCTTTTTACTATGTTGGTTCAAGTAAGACTAGACACAAAATAGACCCAACAAACAGAAGCTTAAATTACCAAACATCGGCAGTAATTATACACACTAGGATATTGTTTCGTATTGACGATTGATAATAGCCATGAAGTAAATGTGAGTACTGCTTTATTCTCGGAGCGCAAGTATATCGTATAGATTTATTGCTTAATTTTACAATTAAAAGTATCTCATATCGATGAAAAATCAAGGACTGCTGCCATTTTGAATAGGAATTTCAATCTATTAAACCACAGCCGTACTGCATTGTGTCGACATGCAAACAATTGGCTTGAAGCTATAGCATAGCACCAGTATCTATAGGAAGCTATGTAAGCCCGCCTGCTCTGCTATCCCTTTTCGTAACTTATCCTGATTTGATTGTCTATTATAGATGACCAATCGGCAATCTGGGTTTGGTGGCTTGTCGTCGCTCTTGGCTTGTTCCGTCGATCACTCCATAGCCTACTGCAGAGGTTTGTTTCGCGGGTTTCTACCCATTTGGCAAGCAAACCGCTCGTGGGTTGTCTTAAGGGCCTTGGTTGTCTCGACCGAGACTGCCGTAGTGCGATCGAATGACTGTTTACTCGCTGCGTAACAGGCTACGGGGACCAGTGTGCTTCCAGGAGGAGCATTGGTATCGTTTTGCAGCTGTTCCCCCTGGCCACCTCATGATCGTTCGTTGCCACGTGCCTGCCGACCTCCATAAGATGTCGAACGGATTCCGAGCTGACAGCTGCTAGTCATAACCGAATCGTTAAAACATCAATTGTGACTAGTTCGTTGGCCACAACGGCCCGGTGATGCTAATTTGACGCTGCTTTTGAAATTTAAATTGGCTATGTTGATCTATGATGACTTCTCAAGAACATTTATCGGCGCTGCAGGGGGTATGGCCCAAGCGGATTTTCTCTAGCAGAAGAGCAAATAGAAAAATATGCTACTATATAGGTAAAATGAATGGATTTCAACTATATTGAATTAACAATATACAGTCATTAGAAGAGAAGCTTCGTGAAAAAGGAAATATACTTTATAATTCGAAGACTAAGAGTTGAGCCTTCGGTGAGTTTATAAAGTGAACAGTGAAAGAATAGGTCGACCGATCTAATACGAAACTGTGTTGGGGTCGAAAGATCATGTCAGCTTTTTCAAAGCTGTTTTTTTTTTTCTATTTTATGTACCCACTGTTTTTTCTTTGTTTGTAAATACCATTCGAAAGCACCCTTTCTTCCGCATAAACCCGCGGTATATATATATATATATATTGCGTTTGCGAAAGTTCGTTTCGAGTTGAGATTGCAAGGATGGACGTTCTTATTATTTTGTTCCACATTTGCTGGAATCAATAATTTTCCGAAATAGCCTGGGTCATTCGTGTTGTCTACGAGGTAGACTGTATAGTTAACAGAATAGCTTAAATGTGCTTTCACCAAATATAACATCCTGGATGTGGGAGATACATCCCATTTCGATCAGCGTACGAAATAGAAAACGGTTGGGATCTGTCTCTATGCCGATATAAAACAGAGACAGTAATAAGTAGTTTCTAGATACACGCCAACAAACAAAACGGAACTTACTTTTTGGCCAACCGACAATATCTAAAGATTTTTACTTTGTGTATTTTGATTAAGTCGAAATCAGTTTTTCAGGAGGGCATTTTCAATTAGCTGCCATAAAAGCATTAATTTCATTAACTTACGTGTCTATTTTATTACGCAACCGCGTGAACTATTATTAACAGCTTATTCGCCTCATTGATAACTTGGTCGTAGTGATAAAAGTTGAAAACTTTTACGACTTTAGATAATACAGACACATATACGTATCGTATTATACATACAATACGAGTGTACATGTAATATTTCTTGTTATCTATCTTTTTTTTCAATAATCGGAAGTTTGTGTGCTTCGTGCGGACAGCTTTCCTTAAGACACTCACCACCATACTCTTCAACAAAAATTGAATGTGTTTACGGAATATCTAAAAAACAAAGTACTATCAATGCCATCTATTTGTTGAAAGTGTCCTATTTAGATCACAACCCTCCATTCCTGTCCTAAATGAATAAAAACGCCTATATCATAATGCCATGCGTCAATACCGACGCTCTTTTGTCTCTTCGCCAGACATTTCTTTTATCCTATAGCGTCATCTCAATAGCTACACTGTGTATTATTTATACGGCTACATTTATCAATAGATGAGATGCGGTGCGATTCAGGTTGCCTGGATTCGGGCGTTCTCTTGGCGTATGTTTCTAGTAGCAGCCTATCTGTGCCTACTCCGTTTGGAAGAGGCAGAGACGTGGGGGCGTCTCCTTAAGGGTCCTTTCAGGCCAATGATAGTAATTTCTTTCAGTTATTGTTTGTTCATCTCAAGATGCACTACGTCCTCCAGTTACCACGAAATCAATTGTCAGTAGAAACCAGAATGGCAGAGGACAAATATCTCCGCTGTCAAGGGAGAGAGTCAAGCGTGTTGTGAAAAGGGGAGGCCTTTGGTAGAAAGTTCCGCACTACCTCTAAGAGGTATTAGGCCACTTTGGAAGGCGAGATAATACTCTAGGTAACAAGCAAGCGTCCCCATTATTGGCGATGACAGGTTGTTAAGATCGAATAAATTTATCGAATCGCGGGACCACATAACAGCATTACGTCTCGCACTCTCTCTCTGTTAAGTGAGCGCTTATGTAATCGAGAGTAGTATCTGGGTGGACCGAAGAATCACTGGCAATTTAAGAAACGGCGCCGGTTTTGCAAGCTACAGTTGATATAATTTGTGTAATAATAAACAAGATGTGGTGTTCTTGGGGGACGACGTCGTGCCTCATCGTCACAGTGGCAAGCCCAGAAGGACTACAGTCAATCGTGGCCGTACAGGCATAGAGCGAAATTATCACCCTAAACAGATTATTTCTTCTAGTGGATTGCATGATCAGTCTACCTATCAGGCCTTCAACACATTATCTGCAATACTTAAACAAAAGCCATCATTGAAATGACGCATGGCCATTTATGCTCGGGCCTGTTTGTTTGGTCAGGTACGGCATATCTAATAATTTCCGCCTTGCCAACATAAAACGACAGTATTTCGTTAACACGTAATCCGCTTGTCGTTGTGACGGGTCCACGAACACGTTGTACACAAGTCCATGGGGCTATCAAAGCAAATGGGCCACTTTATAGGATATTCCTTACTAATAGTCGTAGCAAGTAGGCAGCTGTTGATCAAACATGTCAGTTTCATTATTGAACCGTATTGAAACTTTTGGTCCTCTCAAACCAACATAGCGCCGCATAGAGACACAAACCATTTCGGCCTACTTTGAAAAAATTTAGAAGACGAAGTATGATCTTGGTCCTATTATATTTTCGTGTTTAATGCTATATTTTGGATTATTCATATAAAATAGTGAGGAAGACGAAGCCGGTTAAAACTTCCGGTCGTGTCGGGCGTTCGACAAACATAACCAATTACAATAACTGATCGTGTTTATGCTAATACTTGCTTCTAATGTGTAATTATGATTTTCTTTAATAGGGCGTTTAAATAAAAGAGGTTCCATAAGGCCGAAAATACCTGCCCCCTTCCTACCCAGTATCGCCCAAAGGAACAGATTAACCTCGTTTTTATCAAAGTCAGAAGCCGTTAGAGGTTACAGCTGGATGACTATGGAATCACGATGGTGTAAGCCGAAGCTATATTTGGCAAGCCAACGTCAGTGGACTTTACGTATATATTAGGCATATACGTTACTGAAAGAGGCATAAGCAAAGTATCAGGTTAACAGTAATTGTCTCTACCCCGTTTAATTTGCTGATTTGCGTTTGCGCATTATAGCACGTGTAGGTTTCGACCCGTCCCCATCTCTAATATATCGTATTCAGACTGAACCTGTGAGGCCATGGTGTTTTTGTGGGAACCCATTTAAAGTAAAGTTACAGTGAATAGTTGAATCTACCTGAAACAGTGCCAGCTTTTTATGACGGGTCAAAGTTTGGTAGCATCGTTGCTGTTTAAAGTTCCCGCCGTTAGAGATCAAGGTAGCCGCTCTCCATCCTTATGAGTATCTTTTGAACTTTCGTCAAGCAACGAACGACAGCGAAGATTCGGAGCAGTTTACCATCAACTCATCCGGCCAGAAACGACTCTGTCAAGCAAACAAACGTAGGCTATCTGCTCACATGTAACAGTTGTTATTTATTATGCAATACAGTTGTTGCTGTCGAAATTTCTAACGTAAGTACTGCAGTGCGGATACTTCGACATCGTTATATCCCAGAACTCACTTGGATCTTTCGGAGCGCCCAGGCAAGACATCTACAATGAGGCCTGAAGTAATGGAGCTTATATTCACTAGTTGATACCTAAGACAGATGAAAGCAGGCAAAGAAAGGAAAGAGATCGTCTTTCTACACGTCCGGCCCCGTTTCGTTTTTTCATTTGGCTTATACTGCCATTGCCATCTTCAAAAAATGAGTCACAAGATTGCTTTGTCTTTTGAGGCCGAGCGGAGGACCGACCTATCAATGTCTCCTCTCTGTGACGAAAGTGCAGTTGCTCCTTTACGTCTTTTCCCCATTGTCTTCTTATATTTACTTGCTTTCATTTGTGTCTTTCTCTTGACACTCAGTGCGGGTGCTGTGTTTGGCCTGTGTTTATAGGAGGAGGAAAAGGAGTGGCTTCGGGCCGTTGTTGCGCAGTGTCTCCTGGTCGGAAAGGGCGCTCGTCGTTGTTCCTTGAGAGCTGGGATCAACTCCAGCAGCAACGGCAGCAGAAGCTAAGGATTGAACTCTAAATCTCGCATAGAGCGCACTCGGCGGTCCTAGGAGAGAACGGTTGAGCTTCGGTCGTCGGAGCGACTGTGGCTACAAGCCGGGATGGCAGCAACGACAGAACGCGCCCAGGCCACCCGAACCGGACCTGGCTCCCCATTCGAAGGCCACGAATCAGATGATGATGACATGAGGCTTACTATCACCGGTGAGTACCAAGAATAGCAACAGGTATTCGTTGAAGTAACATGATGGATGATAAATGTGCCCGCTATCACCGCTACCGTCTTCCAGAAATTCGCCTTTTTCGAAGAGTACTGGAAAAGCCGTATATCATTTTTATTGGCGCAAATAATTCGTGTGCAATTACTTCTTTGTGTTCATAATTTAGTTTAAAATTTTATGTGTGTAACAGACCGCTTATGGATTTAGAGTGTGCAAAACCTGAAAGGTCAACGAACATAGGGTTCGGTGTAAGAGATTAAGCGTATATAATGGAATTGCATCATATCTGAAAGGACTTTAAAATGTGGTAGATGAGTGTAAGCGTCAAACGTGTAAGTGCCCGTGACATATTAGGATGTTTTGATGAGTGTCTTCCTGCCCGTTGCTATGGGTAAACACCTGAAAGCAAAACAATGACAAGCATTTATTTCACAGCTCGGAAAGGAAAAACCTATTATTCTGTGATCGTTATACCTAATAAACATCATGGAGTGGAAGGCTTATTTGCACTTGAAGCCGAAGCTATCGTCCACGGCATTATTTCAATAAGGAAGCAACTTCATTTTCGTTAAAGACTATCGGTTTTTTGGGTTTTCTTTCGATTCGGCCCAGCGGTTCGTTAAAAAATACCCAAGCTAAATTACTTGAAATAGGCAAGTTAAAAAGATCGAGATTATTTTGTGAAAGGGTAGACATAGATTGAAGAATCACCCACTTTATAGATTCCTGCTCATCCTATAGATTAACTTATGTCACCTACACTACGTTTTTTTTTGCCTAGTCATGCGATGTGCAAAATTAGCTATTTTTTCCGATATAGCCCGCTATAAGTCCAATACTTTTTTTTTAGTTTTTAAATTAATTCTGTAACCGTCGGTAACCAACCCGATACCATGGAATTACCTGTACTCTGTACAACGTGACAAAAATACGTAGCAGGAATTATATATATATTCTCTTTAAAGTGTATTGATCTCTGGATTGATTGAGTGGATTGATTCTCTTTAAAGTATTGATCACCGGAGCCACATAAATAGTCAATGATTTTTCAGACTGTTTATTTTTTAACGTTATACTTCACCTTTGCATAGTCGAGCTAGATATAAAATGGAAATATCAATCATATTGCTGGAACCGTTCAATCTGGGATCCAGGTTCGCTCAGCATCCTGTGGGCAGGCTTATTTTTAAAAAGCCACCACACAATATTTTTATCTTACCTCAGATGTACCTCAGAAGTAATACACAAGCCTCAAGAGCTAACCCTATGGGAAAAAATTAAAATGGTTTAGAACTTGACGTTTGTACATCTAGTAGACTGTGATACTCGGATCTACTAATGTAGATCCCTAAATGTAAAGGAGAAGGTACATTTATTTTTAACAGTTGTAGTTACATCTAATTAAGCGCTTGTGAGGGTATAAGGCAGATCTTCTAAATGAATGCCTTTCTCAAAAAGCGTTTATATATATTGCTTTGACGGGGCTGAGCTCACGCAAGGGCTCCTTTGCTATACTTTCGATACGCTTGGATACTTCGTTTATGCTTGTAGTTAACGCGCCACGATGATGAGTCAATTAAAGAAACAACGAAATCCGCAAATGTCCCAAAGTTACTCAAAGCAGCCACGAGTATATACGAGTTTATGCCCCATCTACTTCTTATGTCAATATATATATATATATATAATAGGATATATAATGTTATGGCAGTAAAATTATCAGTGTGTTGAAGTATCGCCGCTAATAATTACAACCGCGTGACGAAAACCTATAAAACTAATACTAACGCCGGCTGATTACTTCACAAAAAGTTAGTTTCATAATAAAAGTGATACTAATGCCTATTCATCTACTGCTATCCTAAACGAAATCAAGCCAAATGCTTTTTGTACTCAAATAAGCGTACCCATATAGAAATAATACTCAGTGGCCAATCAGAGAGGACTGTCCCAACGAGTTCTTCGGTTACCGTACAGTCACCCCAATAGACCCAGCAGTGTACTGTATCATTTTTATACTATAAAAGAACTATATATATACACGAAGGTGCGTCCATGCGTTTCCTAGATACGGACTATGGGACTGTCAGTAATGAAGAGCCAGAACGTAGTCCAGCTGGATGTTCCTCAGGACCATCTACCAGGGCAGCATCAGCAGCGCCGGCGCTTTCGATAAATCGCTGTCATCTCTGCGGTGAAGCGGCCGCCTCCGCCCACGGCCTGTCGCTCCACCTACGCAGAGTGCACGATGTTATTTCGTGCACAAGTTCACAACTCAACCCAACTCAGCATACTTGCAAGCAGTGCGGAAAAAGCCTTTCATCAGCCAGCAGCCTCGATCGTCACATGCTTGTGCATTCTGGCGAGCGTCCATTCAAATGTAAGAGACACATGCCGATGGCAGAGCTTGAACTAGCGATCCCTACGGCTGACTCCCTCCCAGTCAATGATTTCACCGTCCACAATAGTAGAATTTTAGGAAATTTATAAGATCAAGCTATTGAAAGTCATCTGGTTAGGTTTAGATCAAATCTCACATATGTGCTCACAGTGCGAAATAAATCGATGTTAACAAAAATTTCTAAAGTGTATGTCCATTACGCTCCTATTATCTATTTTCAGGTAAGATCTGCGGGATGGCTTTTACCACAAATGGCAACATGCATCGTCACATGCGCACGCATAGCGGTGCTCCTTTGATTGGGCCTCTTATTAGCCAGTTGCACGTGCATGGCCAATTGTTACAGGTGCATCCATCTGTTCACGGCTCACCAACCTCTACTACTCAGCCTTCTCATGGACAGCTTGCGCCCCAGGATTTTCGCTGTCTAATTTGTGGACGTCTTTTTTTGAGCAAAACAGCTTTGGAAAAGCATGCACATACGGCTCATGATGACGCCCCAGTATCTTGTCCAAAGTGTTTCGCTCGCTGCGTCTCGTACTCTGGACTCATCAATGGCCTACACACATGCATCGAACAGACGGAGGGCTCCGAAAATTTGAGCTTCGAAGATCTTACTCATGTCGACTTTTCCTGCAGTAAGTTTAGCCTCATCTGCGCTGTAGAATGTGACAGTCGACCCCGCCGTTGTCCTTCAATCGCTGGTAAGCATGATTGTGAGCGATGCGCCCGTTCATTTCCATCGAAGGATGCCCTGGACATCCACAAACAACGACACGACGAACGCCAGACGTTCTGCGTTGCCTGCCGAACTTCCTATGTATCAAGCGTTGATCTACAGAATCATCAGGCAGAACTCCATCGGGAGCTTGTTGACGACAAAGCGCGCTTGATGGCAGCCTTGCACCTTCATGCAACGAACACAACTCCACGACATGATCTAAGTGACGTCCAAACACTTCTTAGTTTAGCTAATACAATACCGGCTGTAAAGTCAACATCTAGTGTCGGAGAGCCGACATCAGAGAACTCGTGTGATTCGTTCACGGATTCGACTGTTCTGGGCTTTGGAGCGGGCGACACCGACGATTCAACATGCACCATGTGTGGAACGGTATTTAAGAACGTCCAATTGCTCAAACGCCACCTGCAGATACACGTAAATGCGCCATTCGCGTGTACGCTTTGCCCGTATGTTAGCACTGATAAGAGCACTCTAGTACGCCATCTTCGAACGCACAACGGTGAACGGCCATTTCAGTGTGCAATATGCAAATATGCCTTTACTACAAAGGCAAATTGTGAACGGCATGTACGTAAACGACACAACAAACAGACCAAGGTCAGTGACTCTTTCGATACTCGTATTATCATCAGCCTATTTCTAGTACGGTATTTACTATTGCAGATCTAATCCCGGTACATTCAATTGGTCCTCAAACGATGAATGGCGACTTGCTAGAATGGTTTTTTTCCACTGTTCCAGGCTGAAATCCGGTCCGCTATGCAATACAATCCGCATATGCAGAGCCAACGGTTATCTCCCACTTTCTCGGCACACAGCGATTCGGGAAGCACCGTATGCAAATATTGCAATAAGGACTTCAAATTTAATCGCGTTCTTCGACACCATCTACGCTCCTTGAATAATTCATGCAGTAGGAAACCTTTTTGTTGCATCGTGTGCAAACTGGGCTTCTCTACAAAGAATAATTGTATTCGTCATGTGCTTAAGCAGCACCCAGAATTTCAGCATAAACTTTCTGAAGCGGTGAGCTCCAAGCCACTACCGATGGACGAGGCTAGTGGTCAGGACCCTCCTGTACCATTGACATTCGACAACGACAGTGATCTTGTTAACGAGCAAAACGATATTGAAGTCGATGATTTGGACGATGATCATAACTCAGACCACATTGTTCCACGTATCGAGCAGCACAAAGGTCAAGCAAAGACGATCCCAAAGCCCGAAGTATTGAAACCGACCGCTGTGATCCTCGGTCCGGTGAATCAAGTTATCGGAACGCTACATAAAGTAACGATGTCCCCAGCCGCTATTGATGTGGTCAAGTCCGTTACACCTGTCGTACTTACGACGGTGAAAACCGCTGAAGTCGAGGTCAAGAAAACTTTCGCGACACCAGAGGCCAAGGTCACTGTGATTCCGGCAGCTCATCAGAAGGTTAAGGAGCAACATCCTGGCAAGATCGAGCTGCCCCCTCCTCCACAAGACGAGCCGCTTGATCTCGCCGTCCACGCTCTCGATCTCAGTCGTAAGGACGATGCCCAACGCCCGAAGCCCGTGCCCTGTACACCAAAGAATAACTTCATTGATGCCATTCTTACAGCGGCAAAGTACGTCCCTGAAACACCGACGACGTCCCCTGTAAATGAAGTCGTTTTTCCAAAGGTCACGAATGAGCCAGTTAGGAAAAAAATAGGTGTTCCATTCACAAAGACATTCATTCTCTCTGAGAAAACTCGAACAGCGTTAAAGATTCTCGTGAATGCTAAAAAATCCGATGAGCGCTTTGATGAACAGGAGCAGCAAGATTTGGCGTCAGTTTCGGCTTTGCTAAATGCAGCGAACTCGCATCTTATGCTACAACATATGATTGGGGAAAATGAGAAAGAAATGACGGCAGTGAAGGTTAGTCGAACGGACCCCGAGATCACACCGAAAAAGGGTACCACTGAAATGGCCGAACATAATAATGGGGTAAGTCCTTTACACGCATAATCATTCTTCATTCAGCATATTCTGTCACCAGGTTTGTCGATCCCATGCCTCCTTAATATCGTAGATCATGTTTCCTGTGTCCATCTTTCAGAGCCGTAAAGATTCACCAAACTCCGTGTCGTGCAAATATTGCCGCCGAAAATTTCCTTGGACAAGTTCTTTGCGCCGTCATTTGCTAACTCATACGGGACAGAAACCATTTAAATGTCCGCATTGTCCGATTTATTTCACAACTAAATCGAACTGTGAGCGCCACCTGTTGCGTAAGCACGACAAACTTGGCAAAGCTACCCGTGCACGGGGAAGCGTGCTAATGGCCACTCGTGCATCAACTTCTAACGGTAACAAGGTTGTGAACGTTCCAAGCCACCGATTACGTGTACCTTGTCCATGCTGTTCCAGATCGTTCCGTAGCGAAGATTCGCTTACGGAACATCTTCGTCAGCGAGGGAAACCGTTTCGTTGTGTGATATGTTGTAAACTCTTCAAAGAGGCACAAGAATGCGTTCAACATGTCCGTCGCGTCCACGATCTACATGTCCTACACACAGTTTCTACTTCTGCCGAAGTCACCGAAGGTGACGGAGGTCCACGATGCTTCGTGTGCCTTCAGCCTGTGGAGTCGGCTGTTCTACAGTCACACTTTCGGTCGGAGCACACCCTGGATAGCGATGACAACAATAACAACAACAACAATAGCAACAACAGCAGCAACAATGGAAGCAATGGTGGTAGAGTGTATGAGCATGACGTTATAGAAATGGGCCCTGGAGGCGCAGCTGAGCAAGAAGCCGTCAAGGCATCCACATAAGAGGCTCTACGGGGATTGGAAGGAATGATCGTCTTTGCATAGTAAACATTCCCGAAAAAAACGAGAATTAGGAATGTATGCATTAACCTGTGGGTTAGTGGACCTGCGTGTGCAGGCGTCAGGCGGTTACTGTATAGCAGAACGGAAACAGACTCTCTCCAGATTACTTACGCGAAAAACGCAAATTCTCCTCCAGGAAGAGTCACTATAATACTTCGAACGTTTGTATTCGTCGCTAGTGAGGTGTGACGTAGATGGAAAGGGGTAAGTTCACTTTTATAGAAGAATGCCGTTGACAGCCGAGGTGGCAATATGAGGAAACAAGAAGAGTGACCTGATTGATTTCTTACAATGACTCGGTTCGAGTTAGAGCTGAGAGGGACCATACGAAAAAGCTGTTACTGACGCCGCGTCCTGACACCGCGTCCTGACACCTGGCTCTTTTCGGCGAAGCTATAATTTTTTGTGTCGCGTGCTACAGCATAGCCTTAAAGTAGCACAACCCGTGATATTTTCTAGTTTTTTAGGACCTATTTGTCTGTAAATATGTCGATACAACGATGATCACCAGTTCACATAGACATAAAAACTCGTGAACAGACAAGTTAATGTCGTCGAATTTAGGCAGAATTCGGCAAACCTGGTAGTAAGGCAAACACTTACGAAGTATGTTTTTTTGCCAAAATTTCGGATTGCCAGATAGCCGGAAATGCCTGGTACTCAGATAGAACAATGATGATTCCTAGTCGAAAAGAGGTTTCTATTAAAACTCAGTCACTGTGTTACACTTTATTATATTAGCTGTGTCAACTTCACAATGTCTAGACTTTATTTTTATTTTTCAAAAGCATAATACTGTTATCACCTAAACCAGTCTATTTCTAGGACCAGAATCAAACAGCTCGTATGTCTGAGATTAAGTCAGATCGAGACTTCCTTAGCTATACTATTCAATGCGGTCCCCTTCGAGTACGCTAAACGGAACTCTTTTCCATAACTAAATCCAAATATTTTTTTACTACCAGTTGTTCCACCTGCGCGTATAAATTGCAGGTAGTGGACATCTCTTGAAAGGTCTTTTACGGGTACGTATTGCATAACGATCTAACCGTCAGTGAATGAATTAATTAATGAAAAAGTACTTTGGACTGGCACGAAACGGCTATTGTTAGTATTACTGATGGTAGCGGCTGGTGACAATTGATGACTTTCATCACAAAGTTTGCGTCATTGATTTACTAGTTATCACGTATGATGCGTGACAATGCAACAACAATCATACACGTACACACAAACACATACACGCACACAAATATGATAAGGTCTACGTGCGCTCTCGTTTTCGAAACATCAAGGTAAATGGCCTCTCATAGTAGCGAGTTTGAATCATGGTTTTCTTGCCGAATCCTGAAACGATTCATAATTATCTCGGTCAAAGCTAGTTACGAACCTCTACAAACGTTAACTGCGCGTTTCGCGGTGTATATTGTCTCCCTGTCAACGATTGGGCGTGTTTATTTCAATCGATATCTTCGAAAAACTTTCGATGTATGAACCACGTCCTGGGTTGTGGAAATCTTTGCATTTATTATGAAAAGTATGGTTATGGTTTCCCGAACATTTAAAGCTGTGCATCACTTAATTATGTTAGCACCATATAAATATATAAATTGCATTTGTTTTTTTCGAACTTGTAGTTGGCCTTTTTTCGTGTTTCACCGTTTCCTATTGTGGTAGTACATGACGAGGTAGCAAATCATTCTCTGAACCGAAAGATATCATTTCTGCTTAACTGTAACTGAGGTTTGAGCACAGACGCTAAACATCTCAGTTTGCTATGAAATCGTAAAGAAAGAGTCACTTCTCACATTTATATCGTGTAATTCGTAAAAAAGTGTACGCTTCTCGACCTTGTGCTTATCAATGGAAAAACACATTAAGCCGTTTACGCTTCATTTTTCGCTAATGTAGGAAAAAAATAAAGTCAATACATAATGTATGCGTTGTGTTTGGCTATTCCTTGTATTCATCAACGATTATTGCGGCCGTCACATCGATTTTGAGTAGTCTAGAAGGTTGATAAACTCAAATTTTCCCGCCATAGAACTCCTCTGTTCACCTTGAAGTTCTGTTAAATACGAAGCAGCTATTCAGGATCTGTGAGTTCGACACGCCCGCTGTGAAGCTCTTAGCTATTTCTACGATCGATTGCCGGAGCTAAGACATGAATTAAAATCCTGAACTACATCTATTTTCGAAAGTTACTTTATGATTATGCCTTTATACATTTCAGCAAAACGAACAATCGATGCGATACAAAAAAGCCGCACCATATCTATATAATCATATTATCTATATATATATAATATATAAATCATGAATATATTATTTTGTGACTATTCCATGAACCTCAGCGGATGTTAGCATATACAAGCAAAACAGATTCACGCCGAACCCCTATACTACCGATGATTGGAATCGGTCGAACACTGTTCGATATTAAGTGTTATGTTGATAAAAAGTACAGAATAATACCATTCAATCATAAAAATATCTGAAATTATGGCTTTTGTTATGTTTCTACCTTCGATAGTATAAATGTATAGACAGCGTCACTCGATGTTGGCATCACGCGCTGTGCCTTACTCAATCAGCGGACCGGTCGGGTACCCCCTATGCACCATCCGCTTGAGTGCCTTACCTGCGTGTGTACGACTAGAAAGTCTTCGAAATGCTCGCCAGGGCAAATGAACTAAATGATCAATAAATTACGGAGTAAGCAAAGAGCTGTCAGACTCTTAAGGTAATAGGGTAAGACCTCTTAAGACCTTAAGGTAATAGGGTAGTTATTGCTGTGATGTGATTGTACGTGGTAGTGTCGCAATGACGGCGAACGGCTAGACTAGCGTCCGAAACGTTTACCGGTACAGCGCCTAAACCATAGGTGCTTCTATATTTCCGAGCTTCCGAGGTGTTCTATCGGATGGTTGGCTCCCGGCTCCAGATTTAGATTAACTAGCGGGCAAACGCGTCACCCACCAAGCTATGACGGGGTCAAACCATATGTGCCTCAATGCCTGAAACTTCCTATTCGCTGGTAAATGTTATTGCTTGCATTGGCACAATTAGCTTGTCAACCTTTACCACTGTGTTAATGTATCGATTCAAAATATCTTCCCTATAAGACTCGCCCTGTCGGGAAAGAGAAGTGACCAGACACAGACAAAGTAACGTCCTTTTTCTTTCATTTGGCCTATTTTCTAACGCTATTCAATGAAATGATACCAACAGCATAAATTACGAATGTCCGAATTACGACAATCAGTCAAAAGCCAGCTTCGCATATACGTTATAGGCGCGGAAGATGTGTAAGTTTAAAAATATCTCCCCTCCCACGTGCTTTTGTCGAGGATCTTGTTTGCCTTCCATGCAAGGGGCATATCTTAGTGGGGAGTGCCGATAGCATTCTTTCAGGACGTGCCGTAAAATTACTACCTATCAATATTCTAATCAGTATCATTGTCCCTACGTAAATAATACACCCTCACACACATGGCGTGCCCGATAAACGCACAGGGATTTGACCGTATATATATATATATATATATATACTTAGAAATAAATGAACAAGGATTTAGTTATAATGAAATGCCGATTTACGAATACCATACGCTCATCATGTGTGCATTATTACGAAACATTAGGGAATAGAACGAGTAACAGAGGAAATGTCGCCGAAGCGCATCGAACAAATCACCTCTTTCGTAGTATAAATTCAATGAGAACATTTATCCCACCATGATTATTAACCAACGTCAGGATTCATTGAAAAATGTGTATAAGGATTAGGTACGAATGCTTGCCAATATCAAAATAGGCATCACTATAACGTACTTCTTTAAATCGGACATTTTCCAAATCAAAAGAAGCACTTCGTAAAGCAGAACAGCCCTGCTGAACTAAGCAGATCTAGTAGGGTCTCTAATTGGTCCTAAAACGTTTGAGAAGCAGAAGAGAGGCAAAAAAAAATTACTTAAGAAGTGTCAAATATGGTTTAGAAGTATCCGTTTTATATAGAAGACAATATATCATTAAAGGCAGAGATCAATGGTCGTAACGCCAAGGCAGAGCAAGTATATTACCGTCCCGAAGTTTTACTGCATAGCACTGGCCTCTTCAGCGTTCGATGTTCGCACCCAGACTTTTGAATCGTACGTTGATATTTTGTATCTGGAAATAAGGAACGCTTTGATAAATTTTAATTTTATGATAATTGTAACAAATAGCATTGGGATCATCATTATCATCATCACCATATTATACTATCTCGTATAATTACTGAGTTTATTTAATAGAACTATATAAAGTTAGTGGAAGACTCACTATTTCTGCCTATAGGAACGTTATTTGCAATCTAGTAAGGTAATCAATACGAAAAAGCTTTCCTTGCCTGTAAGTGGTACCATCATTGAGAATATGGAGTATCCGGAATGGTGATTTTCGAAGGTCTAAATGTTCACTGTAAATGCGTATTGTGTGATATATATTTCATTAACGCCACCAAAATACTTCGTTTTTTCCTTTAATCTTGAACTGAAAGCTCCATTGGAGACCAATTGTCGGTAACAATTGATAATAGCGATCGTTCAGAAGTAATGGCAGCACAGGTAGACGACAACAAAGGCAGTAACATAATTTGAAGGAATGAAGTGACGGATTATCTAATAAAGGAACATTTTGACGGCTGGCGTTCGGAATGGCCGACATGCAAAGTCTACTAAAGTATACATATAGAAGTAGGTAAGCCTTTCACAAAACGATACTGAATCCAGAGAACACTATTATAAATAGTTAAAAAGAATTTAGGTGTCCAACGCATAAGTAGGACCCAATATAAATAAGTAAAATGCCAGAACTGCGTAATGTTAAGACACCCGAAACAGAAAGATTGTAATAACGTCAGTAAACTATTACGATGTTATAAGAATACTAATGATAATAAATAAAAAGCACCTAAAAAACCAACTAGGACCGCTACTTTCGTCTTTCTTGCTTGTTATTTACCCGCCACGAAAAAGCTGATTTGTCTCTAACGAAAGCAGCTATTTCATGCTTTACCATTTTCTTATGTATTTTAGGCCTATTGTGCATGTTAAGAGCACTTATTTTTTACCAGCGCAGAGCCTATTCTACAGCGTTTAGTATAGCAGAAACAAAATGAGAGACAAATCCCAATAACATTTCTGAAAATGGCCATAAGCTTTGCTCTCGCATGAATCACGTACGAGACGTACGAGCGTTGAAGCGAGCTGCGGGAGGCATGACACTTGCAGGACGGCAACGAAGGGATGAGAATATTATGGCCCGCTGTAAAAATACCGTTCTGAAGATATGTTTAGTAAATAGGGGGCATCAATAGTATCGAGTACTGACCGCCCTACCCAGGGGAGCAGTGACTCACGAGAGTCGCCATCCTGACATAATTGAACCGTGTGGCAAGTTTTTGGCGATGTCTCATTCTTTTGGTGTTTCCTATTCTCCGTTGTTGTCGTTCTCTAGCTGGGTGGGAAGCATCACTACTGACGCATAGCAAATGCAGGCCACAGACAACGGTGGCAGGGGCGGTGGCAGCTTCTGCTGCTGTGGTCGCCGCCTTGAAGGTCAACGAGCCAAAAACCTAGAGCAGAGCCATCGCCGCTGTTGGGCTATGCCACTGTGCGCACAGACACTGGTGGAAAGTGGTGAATTTCTTAAGTAAAAACGGTGGCAACGTTCCTGTTAGTATTAAGCGGGGCAGGACAGATAACAGGATAGGGTCGACAAGCCCGAAAGAGGTGACGAAAAGCTGCCCATGTTTTGATTGCTTCTAAACCACTACTTCCTACTCTTCTTCGACAACTCGACGGTACTGCCGCCATCGAACGGTCGAAACTGTGTGTGCGTGCGTGTGTGTGTTTGTATGGGCAAGCACTGAGAAGGGGCAGACGCGTCTGGCTGCGGAAAGGGCCAAGAACGAGCCGCAACATTGGTCACCGTCGGCTTAGCCCGAGCTTGCTGGCTTACACAATGGCTATGACAGAACACAGCGGATAATCAATTGGAATTAGAGCTTTCTTAGCCAAGAGCATATAGCTCACTTTGGACGTCTGGCATGCTGCACGGAATGAAGTTTATTTATCAGTGACATCAAACAAAAAGAAACAAATACAAAAGTGTTACTTGAATTCATTTCTGTTATTATTTTGGCAATGAATAAAATGAGAAGTCATTATTTTCAAATAGTATTATCTCTGCGATTACACCGCTTACAAACCTAAGGCCTATCTCAATTTGCTGACTGAACTCTTTGAAATTATTTCAATTATGGATGGAGAGAATGAATGGAGAGAAAATCTTCTACGAGGGTTACAACGGCAATATATTCATATCATTCCAGTGGATGTAGAATTAACTTTGTGCAGTAAATAGCAATATGAGTTTGACAGGGGCCTTACGCTCTTAATTCAGCCTAAACTTGTTATTAACAATGGTTTACTGAAGTGTTCATGTTTTGCCTCTAACTAAATGGGCGTTTTTTCATTTAAGTCGTTTACCTAGGCAAATGTGCCTTTTAGGCAAAGAACCTTTTCAACAGAGACGTTTTGACAACCAGCTAACGCTCTGAACAGGGCCGTGTGTCACGTGTGATGCCAGCCGGTCTTCTTAGAGCCTAGGTAGAAGCAATCTGGCGGGTCAAGGTAAAGTCAATCGTCAAAGGTACTTCTTTCGCAATCGACCAAGAGCGGATGCCGACGGCGTCATTATACGCTTACTCCCACATCCTCAGCGTGAAGGATATTCGCACCGAGGGTATTTTCTGAGCAGATCAGACGGAACGTTTTTCTCTGTATAACTCTGCTCAGACACTGCAAAGCGGGCTCCCACGGGATGATTGTTCTCGCAGAAGTAACGTTGATCGGTATCACTAATGAACGTAGATTTACGAAGCTGAACTAGGTGCTTCATTCACCTCTATTCGACTTCAGTCAGATCTCAGTTGTCGCACCGAGAGGACGCTTCCGATGAAAAATAGTTATTATGCAACTGCACAGTTGTCGTTCATTGAAAATATATGAAAATCATTTTGTTCGCAGGAGCTTGCGTGGCCGAAGGAGACCAAACGCAGTGAAACGTTTAATTTCGAAATACGAAACAATGTAAGTTAATAAAACAGATGTCGATTATCGTTAACGAATCTAGCTAGTTACACAGGCGCTTCTGCAGATAACAAAAATGGTTGAAAGGTGAAATGAAATTCAGCAGTTTTTTTGACAAGTTGTTGACTGAAATATGCCTACACTTTTTATTCCTTAACGTTCACAGCGTTGCTTGCTTACACAAATTGTGTGATATATATGCGTCGTTGGCAGGATGGAAAACGCTTTACACCGGCGCTGCAGAATAAATTGAAGATGAAAACCGCGATTTTTTGAAATAATACCTGTAAGAACCATCATCGATGAGGTGTCTGGGTTTTTATGTTTGAACAAAGCAAACGATGCATTTGCACAAAATGGTTCATGAAAAGCGTGTATCTCTATTTTTCCATCATAACTACCAGACCTTTAAGGGTAAAAAACACATAAACATTTATTTCCTTAATCCCAAAGATTATGGTCGTATTGAAAATCCGAAATTGTCAGCCCACCATTAGCATAGTTTATACCCATCCTTGGATCATATCCTTGTTCAAGGACTACTATTGTGAAAGATCGTCAAAAAATGAAGTCGTTACATTTTTGCTAATATCCAATGGGTCTATCTCTGAAGATTGGTCCGACGAACAAATTCGTCGGACCGATCTTCAGAGATAGACTCTAAACTAGAAATGCGTTCCATTTCATACACGAAATACACGAGATCCAGTCGAAATGGTGTACTTATTGTCTTGCAAGAAATATTTATCTGCAAACGGGAGAAAATATTGGACCGTGGAATACATTATTTCGAATGCTTCATAAACTGTTATAGTGGGATATAAATGTATAAAATGTCTTCTGGTGCTTTTTTCTTAAAATATTATATATATATATTTTTTTTTACTTGTTTGCTGTTTACATCAGAATTAGTCGCAAATCGAGTTAAGACCATTTTTTAAGCGCTGATGAATATTATGTTCTACCTTTTCTACTGTAAACTTGCAGCTTCCCTAATCTTATCGGACAAATGCTGTGGTATCTGATTAGGCCTGTAGGCGTATCTAACGAATTCAAAAATTCGCGCCATAACACAAATACCTATATATTAAAGTACTCAAAATATCTACAAAATGTAGGAAATGAAACTGCTGATATAGACCAGATTGCAAGATTAGACACACAAAAATCTAGAGTAGGCTATGTACACCCCTTTTTGAACAGTCGTCAACGAACGATGTTTGTCTTGTTCTTCCAAAAAGTAAATCTAATTATTTTTTTCAGCTGTACAGCCATCTAGCTGGCAAAGACTTACGTAATATTCCCGAAAATGTTTCCTTCTAAACGAAGTGTCGACGACACTACACATATAGTCAATTCCCGTTCACGAAAATCATTTCTGCTTTCTGGACGAGCTTTTGTGGACTTAATAAAAATGTACAGGCTCGTAATCTTATTATCAGATTATTAAATGTACATTGCCGAATAAGTTTGAATAAAGGCTCCGTGCGGTTGGCAAAAAAGGATCGAATCGTATACGATGTTGACGAGTCTTCTGAATGTTCAACATATGACTCACCCACGGTCTATCAGTATATGCATTATGGCAATACATAGCGAGGTCCCATCGAGTATTATGTACATTTCGCATGGTAAACCTCTTATTTCTCTCCCAGCAGCAATTTTGGTAGTCTTTCTATACATTTCTTACCTTTCCATCGCTGCTTCTTCCAAGTTTGCCCCGGTTTTCTCCCAGGCAGGCATCGTGCCTCTCCCACGGCCGTACGGTGGCCTGGCAGAGGGCACAGCTCGCGTGGGAGTGGAGATGGTGGTGGCGAAACCCGGCCTGAACTCGGCTTGTTCTCCGGCACCCTTTAAAGTCGGCCACTTACCGACCGGGCCGTACACTCGGCAGCGGAGCGCGTAGAAAGCTGTAACGCACTGCGGAAAACCTTCAGCTCTAGCAGCAGCACTTCCATCTATTTACTTTCGGATTTCTCCTCAACAACATCCCAAAAACTTCTAAGCGACAGAAAAAAGTACGTGCATTCTATCCCAATGCTTCCGCAGAGTTACTACTTTAACAGACGCATCTAGTAGGTATGCTTAGTTGTACGTTCATCATAGTAAACTACCAGATGTATAAGCTCAAAGTGTGGCAGGGTGAGTTGTGCACGAGGCTAGCTTCATCAAATGGATTATCTCGTGCGATGACTCTGCAAACGCCAAAGGAGATACGCAAGTGGATAGAAGAGTATCGTGCAGGACAGTGCTTTTAACCCGAGTGCCTGTGTATTCTGCTGTTGGTGAATTTGTAACGCCGACCGTTTCTAAAGTAGTCCATAATCAGTCATTAACAGAACTAGACAGTCCTGTATTGTGAATATAATTCTCGCACTTGTTCAAATCGAAGCTTTCTCTTTTGTTTTCAAGTTACACTCTCACTTGAATAGGTTACAGCTGTTCAAAGGGTATATTTGGCTATGGTAGTTATGTAGTTTAGCGTTTTCCACTATCAGCTATTGCGTCTCATAGCCTCTTTAGGCCATTCAGATGTCCTTACTTATACGCGAATAACCTGTACCAGTGGCTGATTTTATTTAGACATTTCGTTTGTGCCTTAAGCCATTTTATAGAGAGGTGGATGCTGTACATTGGTAGACAAAATTTAACAATTGGAAAACTGACAATAATGTGATGATACGATAAATGGATGTACGTCTTCAATGAAACAGATCGCTCAAAATCGTACGCGCTTTTGACAGTGCGAAGTCTCCGTTTCCTAACACTTAGATCATAAGAGCTCTGTCGTATTGTCGTAGATGCCTTTCCATCCCACAATGGAGCAGTCCAGGTGCCCGAAGTGCGCCAAAGTGGTTTACCACGCCGAGGAGATTCTCGCTGGCGGCCAAAAATGGCATAAAATCTGCTTCTATTGCGGCCTCTGCCTGAAGCGACTCGACTCGACCTGTTCCACTGAGCACGAAGGAGAAGTTTACTGCAGGCAATGTTACGGACGAAAATTTGGTCCTAAAGGTTAGTCTCTAAACTACGCTAAAACACGCTTTTACAATGATATAATATCAATACGCAAGATATATGCAGTTGAAACATGTTCAAATATTTTTTTTCGGACCAGTTTCCTGGTCCGGACCAAATTCCCGGAATTTATACTGAGGAAATATTCAGTAGCGAGTTGAAAATAATTTTTCTGGCGCTCTGTGACTACGCTCCTTTTGAAGGAAGCCTTCAAATGATGCATGAACATGAACTAAGGTGGTCCATATTAGCAACTAGTAGATTTTTAGGACATAATATTCATTGTGCAATTGAGGAGTCCTCTTTGAATAGTTCACATTAATGGAAACCTAATTTTTACCAGCGTCTACTTATCAATTAAGACTAGCTTTGTTACGTCAAAAGAAAAAGCTCATAGTTATTTAATTCGACACATGAAAAGGCAACTTAGGTAACAGTTATTTTAATACAGAATTATCTAAACGCATTTTACTCTATTTTCCAACAATTACTTTACAAGCAATTTCAGCATTCGATCCTCTGCAACCCTATACGCGTCCATTTGTGGAAACAACTACCAATAGGTTTTCCTAATGTAATAGCTTTGTAACGCTACATTAAAACTTCATTGTTTTTGTTCATCAATGTATCGTATCTCTGTATGTCTAGATCGCTCGTTTCCTACACCTTCCTCTAGAAGGTAACCTAGGTAGAGTTTCGCTTTCCGGTATTATTATCGTTCAATCGTAAAATACTAAAAAACGTAAAACTCTAATTGTGTGGTGTATTTCAAAGATCGTTTACTATCCCCAATATCTTGGGTCATTTTGAAATTTTCAGGAGTCGGTTTCGGTGGAGGCGCGGGCTGCCTGTCGATGGATAAGGGCGAGGTGTTCGGCAATACTGAGTCTGCACGCAACAAACCCCTCGACCCGTACTATGGCCAGGCTGGCGGGTGGCAGAGGCCAACTCGGGCCTTCCACCCCAGTAATAACTAGACCGGCACTCCCGACTAAATAACGATCGCGATGATAAACTTACCCGCAGAGTGAGCGAATCCGAGAGAGAAGGGCGTCCGACAGATAGATACAAAACAAACAAGATGATAGAATAACGGGGCTTTTCCTTAATTATCTCATTTTATTCTTCTGTTTATCCCTCCCAGCCATTCGGTGCATCCATTACACAGCTAGGGGATGCAGATATACCCAGCAGACTTGTTTTCCGGTCCGATCGAGTTCCTCTATCCGAGGTTTTTTCAAGACGAAAAATACGCAGAAAAGGGGATAGTTGCTTTAATTTATGTGCAGCTAAACCAATGATACAGGGCGCGGCAAAGACAGTTATCAGTTGAAGTATTCGATGATTCATAGTTAATTGGGCCATATCTCAACAAAGTAGGGTCTCTGCGAGTAAGATCGAACGCTGATAGGAATTGGCAGTACTGCCTTTGACCCAATATGTCTTCTCTATGTCATTACAATATATAGATGAAGAAATCGGTCGTTAAGGCACAATGTCAACTTTCCTTCTATTGAAATGTATACTAAGATAGAAACGCGCAAGGTGATATAGTACTATTAGTTCTGTTATAATTCCGCCATGTAATAATATACTACACCATAGATTATTAGAGGTTGTTACAAATATACGCACCGTACCTGCCATCAGTTGCAAAAGAGGTTCCGCAAATATCAGCCTCTTTTGATCGGCGTATCCATCGTGCAGTGAGCATGTAGGAGAAATGCTACCGAGTACCGAATTGATATTCAGATGAAATCATATTACCATTAATACGAGCTATTTTTTTTTTTCATTTGTGTTAATAACGCAATACACACATACAAGTGTGTGATGCAAGCGACAAATGCGAGTGATGATGGAGTCTATTTATTGTAAAATATACAAAGCGATCAATACATATGAAATTGACAAGATGCAATATCGGACGAGTGTTTTCGATGATGTCCTACTTGCCCTATCGTATAGTAAATGACGCATATTTGTCCTCAGCCTTATCGCGCACAAGATGTTTACTGCAGAAGGCCTCAGGCTCAACCTAAACTAATACAGTATCAGCGCCAGCGCTAATAATCTATCAAACTATAGTTTTATGTGAAAATTACGAGTCTTATCTTATTAACAAAAAAAAAAAGACATTCTATTTAACGTTAGCTAGAATTGTTTAGCCTATCGTAGCAATATTTATTTTTACTCGAAATTATCGCTTCTTCCTCCTGCTATAGTGTTAGAAAATTAAATGGGAAAAGTTACATATCGTGCATTTATATTCCGAAATTTTCAAAAATCCCTAACTTTCACAACCTGGTTCGAACCCTTTGCGACTGAAAAAAAGCCTCCCTGCTCAACAGCACCATGTAATCCGTATGTGACACTTAGTTTATGTATAGGAGATTGGTATAGCCTGTTTTAGGATATCCAAAAATGCTCTAGTCGAGGCCACTGTATTAAGGCATTCATTTTCTGTCACGCTATTGCTAACAGTGGAGATTCGGTAAATTATAGGCGCAAACTATTGGAGCCTTTAACAGATATAGTTACTACCACATGTCGCCTCGCGCGATCGATGAATATCTTTGTAAGAAAAGAGGATCGCTTTCAGATGTATAGCAACTGTGAACATTTCGTTTATCTCGAAGCATGGTTACAGATAGCTACTGCTGCTGAAAACTGCTTCAGGATCGTAAAAGCCTAAACTGGTACACCTCTCGTTATCTCACGGTAAAGTAGAACGTCCGTTTTGACCAAATACAGAACTTTACTGGAATACACAATTTCAACGAAAATATTACCTGGCAACATGCGGAATCGGGTCCATTGAGGGTGCTGCTGTCGTCTTAACGTGCCTGCCTGGGGTGCGTGAGATGCTAAGATCAAGTTTTACGTACACGTTTCTTCATTCGCACCGCCCTGTATTGTAACAGATATTAATCATTACGGTGAATTATGCCCCGCGTATCAAGAAGGAGAGAATCGTTGAAATTATCCGTTACTTTATAGTCCCTCCGATCTACAATCCGGTCAACAGAACGTATGTACGTGCATACTGTGACGCTAACATCGGTCTTCCAGGCCCCCCTAACGCACACGTGTGTCGAAGCTGCAGGGTTATCTCAACACGTGAATATTTTAAAAACGATAAAATATATATTTCTACTTCTCAAATAGATACCGTACTTTATCGGTAGAGCAGGGTTACCGCAGATTCTTACGGTACATAATTCAACTATTAGTAATTAATTCCTCTGCTTAATTCCCTTTCCGATAAAATTTTCGTAAACTTGGCCAAAATCAATTCTTTTCATGTGTGTTTCTCTTCAAGCCTCGACTCGAAAGTCTAATAAAGTCAACCTAGTTAATTTCAAAGAAATGTGTCATCCTTTTCGTTTCACGTTGTTTAATATCGATAAGTAAGTTTATTGTGGCCTTCTTCCGCCACAATAATTCTTCTGTATAACGAATTCGCAAATTCAAAGAACTTGTTTTGTTATTATGGTATATTCAATATACTATGATTTTTCAGCTTGAATACAATGATTCTTCGGGTTGCGTTTGAGGGGAGCTTTTATTGCTTCTATTAGATAGATTATTTTTGTTGGATAGCTCCTCTCTCTGTCTTGGTCGCGCAGGCAGACCGCGCTGTTGAACGAGTGTCGTTGTAGAGGGCGCATGCGCACTCCTGTTTGCCGAGCTCTCGTCCACTCTCGACAACATTTACTGACTGCAGCTGGGAGAAGCAGACAACCCCCTCCCCCCCTGATGGCTGTCGCTTTCTGCTCGCAATCCAGGTGCCAAGCTCAGCGTTTCAACCATGAGTCGGTCAATGCAGTGGCAAGCAACAGCACGGAGACCTCTATAGAGCTGCTGTAGAGAGCGGACAGTGCCTCACCCAAGCACTAGTTCCTCACGAGCGTGTTTTCCGTGTCTTGTCCGAACAATCGACGCAAGCTGGCGGATCAACGCGCCTTTCAGTTATCGGAACGTGAGCCGTCGGTGTCGACGTGTGTTTGTATAAATACTTCGAACAGGTCGACAGAGAAGAGGGGATTGTGGTGAAAGCGAATGCGCGTGTATCCCGCCGATGAGTGTGCGAAATCAGAATAAAAATAGTGCAAGCTAACGGTTATCAGCTGAAACGGACTCGAGACGACGCTGGCTACAGTAAAGTGCAAGGTGTAGTTTTATTGTGCGCTAATATAGTCAAGGTTCAATAACGAAAAAACAACGGCTGGATAAAATCGAATCAACGGTCGATTGTGGTTGTAGTTGTTACGGAGGCGCCGATGACGGAGTACAGTGGCGGTGGGCGAGGACATGCCTGAGAATGCATTGCTTTGGTGCTGGAGCCTTTCGAGTCTGTCAGGCAAATTGCCCGCGCTGCGCAGGGACTCCCGCACCTCGCAACCCGATTGCAGTCAGCTCCAGACTGTCGAACCACAATTGCAGAAACATCAGCAACAGCAGCAGGCCTACGGGGAGAACGTTAAGACGATCGATTGGGGTAAAACCTGCGGCGGCTTGCAGACTTCGCGATTGGCCGAACTGAAGGTGCCTACTGTGACAATGCGAAACACACACACACAGACACACACACACACACACACACGTTACACTGGGGGCACAACGGCGTTGAGGGCTGGGCGGTACTGCAATTCCTGATACAGACGTCAATAATCACTTAACTGCAGTAGAGACAGCGTTTCGACTCGATGGAAATCGTCTTGTTTATGATAATCTTGTACTTGTGTCGCCGTTATTAGATATCAAAGGTATCGACATCTGGAATATGTTAGAAACGTCATGCGGATAGAAAGGCAATCCACCAGATGTACTGCATACCCGAATATTGCCAAAAATATAACCCGGACAGCGGAATCTCTAATTCCTGGTGTAATTCGATGTAAATTTAGAGAGTATCGAATATTTTTATTATAAAAAGACGCAATAACTCTCCATTGTGTCCTCCACACAGTAACGTCAACCCCACAGTGACAGCTCTTAATAAGGCATTTTTTTTCTATGTATAACATATTGGACACTCCCTTAGATGATCTTATCCCACTATATAAAAAGGTCAAATATGAACATCTTACAAACCCTATGCAACGACAGCCGCTTTGTCAAAGGCAATCCATGAAGTGTCTGTCTCTACAAGTCCTAAGCAGAGGAAATCTATTGGCGTCATCGTCTTCCTAGTGGTAGGCAAACCTTCTTCTTCGAAAATGCGAGCTATTCGTTGTCACATTAGTGTATCATAGATTCTGTTTACGGTCATCGTATTGCCTAGACTGGCAGTCAGCTTCCGTTCCAAATCAACTGCAGAATTAAGATTCCATACAAAACCAATTGGACGCATTGATTTTGTTTTATTTTAAAGGGCAACAACTATTTAACCGTGAGGGGGCAACAAAGGCACAGTCGATGACATGCTAAGTATCCATACCCAAGAAAAATTCTGTTTTTCGGTAACGTTTATAGCCATAGTAGGAATGACGCATGACGATGCTGAATTTGAAGCACGAAACAATTCCTTCACTGCGATTTTATTAAAACTCACATCAAATCAGTAAACATACGTGATGAAGGTCAATACTCGAGAAAACTTTTAGAAATAATAGGATAAATTGTTTTTAGGCACACGAGTATCCGGGTAGGGAGACATTGGAATTATCTGCTTTTCGTACTTACATTATTAGTATCTTTTTGTCGCTTATTTTCTATTCGACCAGTTATTTATTAAGCAACGGTTAAAATTAAGATAAAAATAGCAACACTAATATATGCATGAAATATTGGTGCTTTGTTACTCTGTTAGTCAAATAAGCGAAAACTAACGCCAGCGCTTAATAGGCTCAAAATCGAAACGCCTCTAGGGCCTTTTGCTGACGGGAAAAGAACTAGAGATTTCATACAGCACAAATCGTATACTATACAGTTGTATACGAATTTTCCTTATATCTAGTAATATCAAACATCATAATGTCTAACCTGAGTTACTGCGTACCATTTAAAATAAAGTGAGGATTCGAAATGTTTTAATATAGTATCTTTGAAATGGTCACAAGAATGAAAACGGAACTATTTTTTTTTGTTTCTCCGTGTCATAATAATAATAATACTGATAATAATCATCCTCATAAAAATGAACAACTTTATTTTATGAGGGGACAGCTTGATAGGGAACGTTCTTAGGAGCGCTATCTATGACCTTCCTATCGCGTCTATTAGAGCACTGGCAGTAACTAAACGATAACCACGAATTATTGTCTGTGATTTTATAATGTAATAAATCATATCTGCCCTCTAATAATGGTACATTTGAATCGAACAGAATATTGTTAAAAATGGATGCGAGAAAAATTCTAGCTAGAAATCTCTAAATTATGTATTATGTACGCGTACAAAAATGTAATTTATTAATCATTAACTGTGACGAGACACGCGTGTTATTTTTAGGGTGTCTTCCTTCAATCGCAAGAGTCGGCAAATATCATTGAGGGTAACATCGGATATCCGCTCAGCGAGAAGCAGCTCGCCAAAGAATCAATCTACTCGCGAGTTTCGAAGCCGGCCCGTGAGAACCGCCATAACGAGAACGATCTAAGTGTTGACAAGGTAGCGTATCTTTTTCGGGGCTAGATATGTATCGATTGTTACTCATAGCTCCTCAAGCATCGAGAAGCACATCTTGCGTATTTTCTTATGAAAGGCCGATTATAATAAGTTTTATGGCAACGTTTCCCATAGCACATTTGTATGAGGTTATATATTGGTGATTATGGGGTCGTTTAATGACGGCCAACTTATGTGTTCGCTTCTTTACAAATGCATCGAAGTATTCGCGAGCTTTCCTTATCTCTCTTTGCTTCGCATGCAATTAGGGGCGAAAACATGGCAATAGTATTTCGAAGTGGCGTATATTCAAACCCATTCATTTACTTTGCATCAAAACGTTCGGGTCATTAAACCTTGATTTTTCTCAATTGAGTAAAGGATTTGCCTTGGCCAACGTATAAGGGATGGTTTTCAAAGATATAATAGTCGTTGCTTTTTCTATGTCCCCTTTGTTTTTCTAGAAGGGCCGTCGTAGTGCTGGCAGTGCGAGCGGTGAAGCCGTTTATGAAAGTATAATCACTCTTGACCCATTTGAGATGATTTCAATGGCCCATTTGAACCAGCTGGGTCAGATGCAGGTAACCGCTCCGCACCTGCAGCATCTGCAAAGTCAATCGACAGGCAGCATTACAAATGCGCAACAAGGTGGAATTTTACCACAAAACGGACCACTACCAGGTCTCATCCATGCGAATGGTAACGGCGGCGGTATGTGTTTATCTGGTCCCCCCGTTCACATCGTCGCAAACCCGATGGGTCAGGATTCCCTGTAAGTAGAAATTCAGTTTCCTCACACGCAGTACGTGCTTTTTGTGTTTGAAATAACAAAGTACCAATGCTTTATTCCATAAACAGCTACTATCTATAAAACATAAATGATATATACGTGCTCATAGGCTTTTCAAAGCCCGCTTATCCCCCTGGGATCTATATCGAAGGAAACAAGTTTAATAACAATAATACGATTACTATTTTTTAATAATACGAAATCGACTGGATAAATTATACAAGTATTTACTTAAGCCAATTAGATAATATCGGGTTATTTAGCGGTACCAGAATATTTGCATGTTCATCTCCTACAGTCGGAAAATGCTGTGAATGCATTTACTGAAGTGGCGTCAGTTTTAACGTTATTGATGTTGCCTATTGCGACAAAGGTATACGACGATTGGTGATGTTTCTGAGCGGGTATACGAATGTCCAGACGAGTGCCCACCACCGGTCCCTCCTAAACAGATGGAGGTTCTTTATACAAAACCTACTAAGGTAATAAACCAAAAGCTAACGTGTCACTTCGGAGTTGCATGCAGATTTACATAACCTATACGTTTTTTTCGCTATGATTTATTATTTTCCGAAATTCAGGAACAGGTCGTTTGTGGAAGTGTTTGGTTAGTTAATAGTTTGGTTAGTTAAAACGGCTATAATTTTTTTTTTTAATGTTTCGAAGTATTGTTGTGAAGAAAATAATTTTAGGATTTTAGGGTATCGAATCATTTCGCGTCAAATTATATTACAAAATACGAAATGTTATAAATCGTTCTCTCACATTTTAGCATGGCGCTATTTTATAGCGGTGCAACATTCAGTTACACTTTTTTTTCGGTTGTCGAAATGCATTTGAATTTCTTAAAATTTAAGGTCGTTCGCCTGGATATTAGCGGTCATAACTTTAGCCGCGGAAAATTAAAAAATTCAAACGGTTCACGAATATCACTTTCATTTTGGAACTATAGCCATGTTATTTACGGTTTTCGTCATGTGTAAAGGTGTTCCCCAAATCGAACGGGGGAGCTGCGTTGAAAATCTACAAAAGCCGCGAGAACGTGCCCCCTTCACCAAATAAGGATTCGTCCGGTTCTGGTACCTCCTCGTCGGACACGCGAGATCTCCAACAGGAAAACTATGCACTGAAGCAGGTACAACTGAATGCATGCAGGCACGATGCACGTTCAAAATAAACACCAGTTTAGGAAATGTAGATGCATTGTATATTGCCCCGTTGATAGATTAGTGGGTAACGTATCTGCCTTCTAATCTTGTGGTGTAGGTTCGATTCCGGGTATAGACACGCTTTGTTTTGCGCTGGGAGCCAGCCATGTAACGAAACGTCTTACGGCTATGTCGGACGTAAAACTTGAAACTTAGAGAGGCACGATATGTATTGAACTGACTATTGTAATGTCTAATATATTGGTTACCGTTGCTGATGTCTATCCGTATTTCTGTTCGAAAATAAATCCGGTTTTTGAAGTATCGTACACATGTTTGACGTCAACCGAGTGTCGCTTCTGCCTGTACACATCAATTAGATATCGACTCGATCGATAGTCGAACTACTGTTGTTGCTTCGGCTGAAAACAGACTCGAACCCGAAGGGAAGGTCCAAGAGAGCTTGCCTCTATGTAGTTGTACGACTCTACAGGCGATATCCCCTCGCGCGTAAAACAAACTATGTATTTTTTTTGTACGATGTTGATGCGAGGGAAATGAATTAACTTAAGGATGTAAGCGGCCACCACCACTTCTCTTTTTGAGACAAGCCCCATCAAATTACATAGATGCCAACTCCTTGACAAACAGCTTCTTGGAATAATAATGCACAAACGACGTCATCTGGTAAATTCAGGACATTGAAGCAAGTCGTATTTCACACTTTGTTGAAATGGTATCTTTTGGTGACTGAAACATATTTACACTAATTGAAAAAGCGTTAGTGCCTCATTTTTTAATCATGATTACAGTTTGTATCATTGGGCCTTACGAACTGCCATAATAATATAAGACCTCGGCACAATTCGGGCGTTTTGGGTTAGCTGAACGGTGAATGAAGTGATACCGGAAATCGAAATTAGTCCCGGCGCGATATCAGCAATATTGTTAACTACGAAATTTTCGGCGTGTATAAAAAAAAAATAATAATCCGCGGAAAATGTATTTTTTGTCTTCCAAAGCCTTAGAACCTGCATGAAGTTCGAAACTCTGTATAGGAGTCAAAGGCAAAACTATTTTTATTTCTACTTAGGTGATGTTAGGTAATGCATCTGACATTTAAAACCGATGTATTTCAGTACAGTGACCATTTAGTTATTTTATCTACGTTAAATATTGCTGTATGTTTTTCCCTAATTATAAGTTCGGAGGTTTTGATTACTCTAGCATACTGATGCAGCAGCGTAGCAAACAGGCCTTTACGATTTACTCATTTAATTTTAAATTTTAGGAAATTTTGGCCTATCGAGAACGGATGAAAGCACTGGCAATGAAACTCGAGCAATTCGACGGAATTTCAGCTATAGTAGAAGAACTTCAGGGAAAGGTAAAAAAAAAAAAAAAAAAAAGTACATCAATGAAGGTCGACAATTTCTACGGCTAAGAGCCAATTAAAATGATTGATGCTTCTAATTAGCACGTGATTACTATCCTTCCTAACCACTGCCGTAAGAGATATGTCATTACAGATGAATATTAATATTGCTCTAACAACACTTCTTTTAATTCGGAAGCTGATCTATCGCTTAACTAAGAAATGATAAACTATGTTAGGGGTGTACTTGCAAGGATTGTCGCTAATATAAGTCTGGCAGTATCGAAACCGAACGGTTTAGTATACGTAGTACTTGTCATACACTAACTAAATACGACAATTCATTTCGAACTGTTTGGATTAAAGGTAGATAAAGTTAGCCAGGAGAATGCGCGGTTACGATGCTTCGAACGAGAGCACCGCGAAGCGCAGGAACAACTTAAAGAAGCGCAGCGTCAGTACAAACTCGACGTGGACCAACTCAGCTCGCAGGTTAGTTTTTCCATGGAAACATTTTAACGATAGCTCAGAATATCTTCTTCAGAAAGCTATTTCAAAAGCACCGCTGCCATTTAACTGTAAGGGTAGTAAGCTTTTAACGTCAATGTTTAAGGTTACGGAGCCTTAATTAGGTAATTTCGTTTCACCAGAGTCATAAAGGGTTAATCGGGAATGGCATCGTTGTTAACCTTTATAAGTAGTGGTTGGTAAAAATTTCCGTAAGGATATTATCAGCCTAGTTCTCTGCTGAATAACTTTTACAATATTTCAAATAGGCCATCAATGCGATATATAATCCAAAATCGGGGCTCTAGGCGACGAGAAATAAAGGTTATGAAAAATCGCACACCGGTAACCGGAATATACATAAGTAGACTACATCGAATTACCCTAGCCGCCAGGGTAGTGTGTATGGTGTAACCATGGTGCATCATGGTTGGGGAGCGTAAAGAATTGTATAATTCTTCAGACGCTTATCCGAGAGGAGGCTAAGGATGATACCCTCGAAAGGCTGCAGTAGGTAAGCATGGCAAGGATTGCTATCTGAATTTCGTTGATACTAGGAATCAAAGAGTAGAACTTGAGGAAATGGCCTGCTAGCTTACCGAAACTTTCACTGACCACTGGTGCAAAGTGCGTCCTTCTTGAGGAAAAGCTGCCTGATGACACGAGCCCTATGTGCAGCGCTGGAATGGGCTACGACATGTTTCACACGTTGGAGCACTGCACGTCCTTTAAAACGAAAAAGTCGAAGGAAAAATATGGTGGCTGAGTTCTTCAAGGTGACGTGAGCTCGGCAGTAATCTGTAAATGCGTAGCGTAGAAACAAATAGGAGCAAGCAGGACACAAGGAGGAAATACAGCCTCCCATCTTGCACTGAATAAAAAAGGGAATTAATATTGAAACAAGTACCGATTCAGAGGAAGCTGCAAATTAAGCAGAGACACTACTATAGCAAATGCCCAGAAGTGAGGCTCGGTATTCATGACCGGTGCTTACTTATTAAAAGCTTTAAATCGAAGTCATAAGGAGCAATTTCAACCGACAAACCTAAGCTCTTTCTGAGAGGCAAGGATGAATTTTCGCATCCATTTGTATTATGGGCCTACCTTAGCTGCCGTTGACCTGGACAGAAATAGTTTAAACCTCTTTTTTTTCTTTCTTGAAAAGCAACACCTGTTGTAGTCTTTAAATTGTATAGACTGTGAAAGAAAATATCATATACTAACATGAAATACTATAACAACAATTGCCGCATAGAGCAAAAAGTTCATTATATGCAAAATTTACGATCTAAATTTGGCTACAATGTGGCTTATTCAGGTGGCGATTCTCGATGGGGAACGTAACGACCTCGAGTGTTCGTTAGCAAAACTTCAAGAGGAGCATGATTGTCTCATGATTTCATCTCAAAACTCAGTATCATTTCAATACCATTCACAGGTAGGATCTTTTGTCTGATGATTTATGATTTTGCTTAGCTTTGAATCTGCGGTCAAAATATCTCGAGCAGTGAAGGGACACGTCAAAAAATACCTAAAATGCAGTACAATATTGGTAGGCTACAAGGAACATTCATAATCATATCAAGTGTTGACTATTTGAATACGTTAATTCTTTCTTCAAAGCATATCCTATATAGGCTCAATCAGGACATACGCGAGCGTAGCGACTTTGTAGACACTGACGTTTTGTTACAATATCTTTTTTATTTTTAGGCCATGCTTGAAGTAAAGAGACTTCTGGAAGAACTTAAAAATAAGTATCAAAACGACAAGGAAGCTCTATTGCTTCGAGTGGAGGCTGCTGAACGGGATAAAGTGAACATGAAGGTAACAAATCAAATAAATGAAAGAAAATCTTTCTAAAATGAAGGGTGATATCATGCAGAGAGTTCATGTATGCTGCTCTCTTATCGTTCAATAAAATTGACTTAATTAGAAGGTACGATATGCATTTCTTGATCTATATTTACTTAAACTCTCGTTGACTGCCGCTCTTCACTTGTTCTGATATGTATTTTGCGACAGGCAAGTGTGTCGCAACTCGAGGAAGAGGTCGCGTCACTGCGTGCCGAGAGAGACCAACTTAATCAGGGCTATCGGAAGGCCGTACGTCAGAAGCAGTCGTTAGTCCAACACATAAAAGATTTGCAAAGTGAGGATAGCGAGCTTCATGCCCTCATGCAGAGTCTGTTGCAGAGCGCACATCAGGCCGTTGCCGAGAGGGATACACTCGAACGGTTGGTAAAGCCTGCTGCTGGCTCAGGCCTGACAAGCCATGCGGATACCCTATCTGCCCAGGATCATCGCCAGGTGCCCGCTGGTGGAGGCCAAATGCTTCAGTCAGTCCAACAGCAGCCACTTGGCCAAGTAAATCATTCGATAAACGCTGATAGCCAAGCCGGCGAATGGGTTAACAACCAAAGTTTCCTATCCTGTTAGTCGTGTTAGAGCGGCCGGTTGGCGTAGGGGTCCTTTAAGCTAATGCGTAAAGGATGAAAATTATGCTAGGCATATATATTCGCCTATAATAATGCCATGAATATGTGTGAAGATGTTGACTTGAGGTTGGTGATGGCATCTTCTATAAAGCAACAAATGGTTTACAGTTACAACTCTGCTAATGAAGTCTCAAAGAGATGGTAAAGCCAAGAAAAGAAAGTGTACGCTTCTAGAGTTATTTCGGGCATACCAACGCGTATTCTTAGAGAAGAACAACTATGTCTTAATGTTTTCAAGGACGACTATTTGGAAAATTGCGGATAAACTAGTCGTCTGTCAGCTGACGTGACATCTTCATGATACAGGTCGAAAGATGAGGTGACAATGTTTGATATCTGAGTGCCCAAAATGTTGACCTTTGTTAAAAAGAGAAATTAAACTAAACTAATGTACTGAAAATTCGTCTAACTCTAGTACTGGTCCGTTGAATTCGATATATTGGATCTATGTCGAAACGAAGTCCATTAAAAAGGAGAAACTCCTGAAACAAGCATAGACGGGTTGTATGTATGCTTTCTATCCTGCACTGTACACTTCATTACAAGACAGGCGTGAACGTTTGCCTTCATGCTACGGGATAAAACGTAGACTAAGGAGGCGACTCTGATATGACTGACGAATTAATTTGTAGCATTATTTGAACCCGCTACCATATGCAAATCTAATACACCAACCGTGTTTACACAGCGATGCTCTCTCTCTGATCGGTTGATATATCTTTAGGTATAGATGTAGATTTATTGGACGGACCGTCGCGCTGAGAGAGAACGAGAAAGAGAGAGATGTTGATGGGATAACGAGATCAATGTTAGTCGGGTTGTGCCTACGCAATCTCCCGTTAGGTCGTCTGACTCTGCTACTTGACTGACTCATCGAATCCGGTTAAGAAAGTGGTCAACACGATCTTCACCCATCAATAACAATGGCTCAATGATGTGCAACAGCCCGTTTTAGACAGGTGGAATAAATGATAACAAACAATGGGATGACATTACTAGAATAGATAACCCAGATAGGACTGGCGGTGAAAAATGTGACTGACTTCATCTTGTGCATTCAGTGAACGATGGCTATCTCATGGGGTCTGCTTGAATTTTGAGCTGCAATCATCTGAAAGTTGCCATATTTTACCATTATATAATATATCAATATTATTACTCAGGCGTTTTCGGTTATTATCGGCACTGCACAAAGGTTTCGTAACGATAGAATTTTTTTTTGGAATATAGTGAGGATAGAAATTGTGGGCTTCACGGAATCGAAAAGAGGACCTAGATTAGATCCTGAACACAATCTTGTACGAGGCCTTTCGTTGTCCAATGCCAGAGTGGACTATACGCTCTAGCAAGTGCCGAAACAAAAAAGGACTAAGCATAACGAAGCCGTAAAATTGGCTCTTTTTTGCAGTGGATTTTGCAGTACGAGCAGAGAAATCAATCGACGATAAGACTATTGATGAAATATTTCGTTGATCGTTTTCAATGCTTTGTAAAAGGATCTGAGTCAATACAACTATTCACCGCTTTTTTCTGCACCAAGCCACTTATTTATTTCGTGTTCTTATAAGTAATATGAACAGCTAGATTTAAGAAAATTTTCCTTGAACATCGGCCCAGTAAGGTCAGATTTTAGTTTCTCCGGATCTGTACAGCAATTGGTCATGTTGACTCAGGATCCGAACCGGTATGAGGTTATTGTTAAGAGTTTCGCCTCCATCCTAAGCATGGCGTAACTACGAAATCGAAATTCCAGAATACTTAGTTATCTTTACCTGTAAAGAATTAAGAGATCAAATATTTCATAATTTCGTTATTATCATATCAAGAAAATTAGAGATATCAGCTATAACAAATAACTGGTAAAATACGACCGCAACATGATAACTTAGTTGAAAATTAAACAAGAAAGAATTGGAATTGAGAACTGATTTGCACGTCAGAGAAAGTTGCCACGCCAATAGTGACATAGTTACCACTATAGATGCCGAAACGGTGCGTGTCAGTATATTAATAGGAAAAAAAAAGGAAAAACAAACTGTTATATTGCAGCTATCACACAAGTGATGATGATGATGATGATGATTATTATTATTATTATTTGTAACCATTGCAACTGTGTGAATAAGTGAATCCGTGTATTTCACTATGACAAATATGTTTAGGAAAAAAAAAACACCCTGAACGTGCATGGAGTTCATCTTCAGCTTTCATTTTAGACAAAAACGTTAGATTAGCCACAGATGACGGAATGTACAACAATATCACTCTATAAATATTTACGTCGGTCATTATTATTATTACTACTATTATGGCTGCCGTTTTGTTGGCTCAACGCATAACCCTAGGAAATTCGGTTTGCAACCAGTCGTCGATTAATCAGTTAAACGGATATCACGACGACTAAATAATGCAAACAAAATAAGGTACCATAAATAAGTATTGTCTATAGGAGATGTCCTGCTTTTAGGCACTGGTCTAAACCATCAAATTCATCAAAAGCCTACAAGATTTAAGAACCATAAATAAAATTTAGTAAATGAATTAAGTTACCTTAAACAATGAGAATGTATTTATTAGCTAATGCATTTTATTATAATAAAGACTTGTTGGAAGTTCGGCTTGTGAATTATGTAATGCCTGTTGTGAAATCAAGTCACGCTGGATGATCCATAACAGTGCGTTTGAGTCATCAGACCATCAGTAAAACAATCTAGGTTTGAAATCTAGGTCCAGGGCAACTCTGCGGTCTACAGCGATACCTATCCTACCAGACATAAAACTTTTAAAGCCTTTACGTTCTTTAAGCAAATTTATTCTATACTATCATAGGTAACGATTAGGACTATCATTAAATATTATGCTCCGATCTTCCTTTGGACCTGCAAATAAAATAAGCTAATACCACTTGAGCTGTACATTTATTTAAAGATCTTGGGTCTAAGATACTGGGATGCTTTTTGAGCGGTAGCTCTATAATTATTGCGTTAATTTTAACTTTCTACTTCGGCAAAATGTAATTGCTGAGTCCACGCTTGGCTGTAAGTGTTTCTGGGTGATAAGTCCTGCAGGTTGTGTACGCTTCGAGAACGGGGCAATACAACGAATTAAAAGAGCTAAAAATCGATGATTCTGACCACCTTGGAACCCGTTGTTTTCAGTATAAGGCTCAAATGGGACACGGTCGTCTTGTGTCAGGGAGAACACAAGCTGGAAGCCCTGGAGTGCTCACTACTTTTCAAAAAGCATTAAAATCCTACGGAAGATTAGAGCGCTAGGTATCATTTCACCGTCCATTGAAGCATAGTGTCATAACTAATCTTCAATTTTTTCAATAAACTAATAGAAGAATGGCGTAGAGAAGGCCAATCATTAATATTTTGGCAAGAACCTGCTTTTCCCTCATTCACATGGAGAAGACAACAATTGCGGGGTATCTGAAACCATATTTTTTAGCGAAAGAGCAACTAGCGTTATCAGATTATTTGGATTTATTATTATTATTATTATTATTATTATTTGGACCTAAGCAGAATAGACATGGTTGAATTCGATTGAGAATGGCTTTCGTAGATCTGATTCACAGCTCATGAGAAATATTAACTCCAACTAAAGCCTCAGAGTGGACTTCATCAAGGAGTCGACGCTCACCATGTAATGGCCCTTAGAAGTCTACGCTATAAGTCACATGATTTGACAAAAAAAAAAGCTGTTTTTAAAATTTGTTTAGATTTCAACTAGATATTGAGAAATGTACATCAAAGATTTAAAAAGAGAATTAGGAATTCCACAGCAAAGATATATTTTTAGCTAATTTTTCTTTCAATACGACCGAAACTTCGCAGACGTAGCCGTAATTGGTTTCAATAGTCTATAGGTTTTTTCTTATAATAAAGTCGGCCGAATTCTAGTTATGTTTTGATGGCAATGAAACATACCGTATTAGGAGCGAATATTTAGGCTCTTTATTACGTATTACTACTATCTATCATCATTTACGGACTTATTTTTGGGATTAACTCATTTTTTAGTGCCTACATACTGAATACATATTGAGGCCGTTCTTGTTCAATCGGATATAATCCCATCAAATACTCTGTTAATTATTTTTTACTGTTATATATAAGTTAATAACATTATAATAGTATTATCAGTCACAGGAGCGCTATTCTGTGTGTTCTTTTGCCTGTTTAAGAAGTACATAGAGGAGCGTATCACTCATTGGAGTGAGAGACCACTGAGTAGCAAGCTAAATCAAATCCAGAACAAGCCGTCGCGAGGGTCATTTGTGGCCGCTATCGTCGTCGTCGCCGCAGGATACTCGCAATCTTAGATCTTATCGAGTTCCAGTGAAGGTCCTTTAAAAGTTTTTGATTTGGAAAGGTGTGGCTAAATCCTAATCGAGAACGACGAAGACTTTCTTGGTTGGATCATCACTAGCGATCGTCGCAGAGCGCGTTCTGCGGTGCAAACGCACATCTCTGATGCGTCTCCACGCCTTTCTCTCACTGGCTGTCTTTCGCCCCGTTACTAGGGTAGGCGCGCCCGTGGCTGGCGCTAATGGATCCAGCCTCAGGCAGATCGAGTCGTTTCGTTGGCGGAAATCATCATAAAACGCCTTGGCAGCGCTTCTACTTGTCCAGCCTTTCCATTCCACCATCTACACGTGTTCAGGCTCTTTCCCACCCCACAGTCAAGTGCCAATCCAAGTTCTCCTGAGGTCGCACGCTGCCTTGCTCTCTATCTCGCCCTATTTCGTCGTCACTGCGACTCATCTTCCTGCCCTCGTGGCATCGCAGCCCCATTTTCCAATCCTCCATGGCCTTTCCCGTCAGCTATGCAATCATCATCATCATCATCATTATCGCAGATCTTAAATGAATTCTTGTGCGCGTCGCTTTTCGCGGTGTTCGGTTAGTTGTTCTTCTTTCTTATTCTCCATCTCTTTTCCGCTGGATAGCTACACCTCTCTTCGGTTCTTTATTTCGTTTTTCCCGTCCGTTTACTCCGAACGCTGAGCATTGGATCGTTGCGTTCGGACGAACAAACGCCCGCTCACCCAAAGATTCGCCGACATTGCCTCGGTTGCTGCCGCCTACTCTTTCCGGGAGCCTCAGCCGCTGACTACTACTACAACTACTATTGCTGATGGTGGCGGTGCTAGTGTAAGTGGTGCTGAATAGGTGGTGCCAGCAGCCTCTGTCCCCCATATGCCCCCGCTTTCTGTCTGATATTTCCGATGGCGCGCGACTTGGAGGCGATGAAGTGAGAGTGGTAAATTTGCAGTTGGATGGTACCGCCACCAGCTACCGGAACGGCAAGAGCAACGCCATCCGACAGCAGGAACCTAACGCCGCACTTCTGAAGCGTCCCCGTAGCATGGGGATCTATATAAGGGGTTACGTTGCTTGCTTCTGAACGTAGAAATTCTTCGACTCCAAGATGGGAGAAGTGAAACTCTGAGGGAAAAGAGCAGGAGAGATGGCAGAAAAATCCTGAAATGGCAGGGTCTTTAAGATGAAAAGGAGTGTTCTGAGCTTCGGTGCAGCCTAATTCCGTCTCCGCCGAGTTTTCTGAGAAAAAACAAAAAAAACTATAGTAACGCTCTATTCTTTTGAATTATAGCAACGCCTGACGGTACCACCCGGATTAGCCGCTATTCTTACTTTTGTTCTTTGACCTTTCTGAATATCTCACCAACAGTGAGAGCCTGAGCGTACATATGTTTTAAAAATCAGTTTTGTTTTGGCGCTGGATGACTGGAAATAGTTGCCGGTCCATTTGTTTCCACGGTCTACACTTCTTTTGGCGCGTCCAAATATCGATCGAGCTGCTAAATATATTGTAAGGTAAATCTCCATACGAATATTTTCTTATGATAGACATAGGACCTATTGAATGAAACGTGAATTTCGAGTCTTTGTTCAATAGGCTTTGCTCAATGGAAACAACTTTTGTAGCTGTATATATGTAGTTTATAGATTTTAATGATATATTTGAAAGTTAGGTATAATCTATTATAGACCATTGCTTATAGCAATATCGAAACGTGTATGCATTCCACAATATATCTTAATGTGGAGATTAGCTCACATGTCTGACTACGTATCCTTAACCAGGGGGCATCACCCCGTCAGCAAAAAAGACATATTCACTTATTTTTATAAAATGCTCACAACGCCCTAAGGCGATATATAAGCTTATATATAGCTCACTATGCTCAATGGCTGTCAACATAATATATGCGGCGGCACTTTTTGTTTGCTGTCGGCTTTTCCGTCGTGTAGTATACAGTAGCCAGTGTGCTCCTCTCAGATGTGATGCTTCAGACGTAGGAGTAAAAGCAAATGTTATCCAGGGGCAACCGAGCGCCAGGGGTAAGTCCACGTTTGGACGGGAAATGCGGGGGAAGTTTGCGAGAAAAACCAGAAGGAAGATGATGTGAAGAGCGCTGGCACGGAAAAGAGGCACTGATGCTGGTAGCAGCAGGAGAAGATGTCGGCAGGTGAACGGTACGACGCGCGTACGTGAGACGCATAGCCTGGCAAAGCGTAAGGGCGGCCTGGCTCGTTAGTCTGGCTTGTTCGCTTACCGTTCCAGCGCATCGGATGAGCCAGCTTCTACTTCTTTTTCTTCTGTCACAACAACAAGCAGCGAGCAGCAAGCGGGCTTGTGGCTTGAGCATGGGTTGCCGACAGTGGGCAAAAGATACGTCAACAAGCTAGCGAACGAGACCCAGAACTACACAGACAGTGAGGGAGAAAGTCAGCTAGCGAACGAGCCATGATGATACCGTGAAAGGAACCCTGCCGACTGGATGGACAAATACAGTGAGACAGTGCTCACCGTCATGGGCTGGACAGAGAGGGAACAGAAACTGATCGTTGCCGTTAGAGGAGTTGCCGAACGCTCTTCTCTTCTTAGGCCTTTAAGGAAGGAACCCGAAAGGAATAGTCCGTATAAACACAACGGAGAAACAAGAGCTAGATAGCTGATGAATCTCGTGGGGAGGCGGTGGGCTGCTTCAGTAAAGCCCCTGCGAGATAATAGCTTCCAGTAGAAAGGAGACATCTCTGCCGGTAAGCTTAGTAAGCATTTTAGGCCACCAGCATTGCCAAAACCCTAGTAAGGCCCGAATAGGCCTACGGTCTCCGTGCCAAAAAGAGAAAGCTTCGCAATGAGTAAGCACAGAAATGAAAGGCGGAGTGTTGTGTCAATAACTATCACACATATACAAGGCCATGCTGTACGCCACGCACGCACTTTGTCGCAAAATAGGCATAAATGTGCTGGGCTTCACAAACATCAAGAATACTACCGACCGGCTTTTTTTGTCCCGTGCTATGTCTTATCCTAGAAGCTGGGCTACTCACAGTCCAAAAATGGATGGCCCACTTCACAAATATATTTAAATCACGCAGCAAGTACAATTTTTCTTTGTTATTGCCAAAGTCTATCCTGTACACATTGAATTTTACGTAGGTTTATTTACGCTTGACGTCTGATAAATTCGTTTCTAAAATGCCACTGCCAATGAATGACACATAAGAATAGCCGTTATTAGACCAAACCAAGAAAGACCTGCAGGAGTCGACTTTGAGGTGAAACATAGTCCAAATGATGTTGCAAATTTCTAAAGCTACATTTACTTTCGGTATTCATAGAGAGGACTTTTACCTATTTTACATAGGCAACAGTGAAAATCCCCATTAAGAAAATGCCATATTGGCATTAATCCTAATGCAGCAATCTTCATTTATCGTTTGGCGGATATGTTGGATGGTATATGCCGTAATCGCAATAATATTTTTTTTCGTTCTTTTTGACATTTGAGACTTTTTTTATCCATCTATTTTCAAGAACAATTCATCTTCCCTATCATCTATCAAGGTTAATTGAAACAGAACATAGAAATTTTGCTTACTCGCAGATGGCTCGAGATTAGCTTCCCAATATGGCTCTCTAAAACCTGTTAACTAATCACTAACAACTTATGGCCGAAAAACTAGATTTTCGTCATATCATCTAGAATTGGTCCGACAGAGTATGATATCGTTGAGAATGAACGCATTGACCGCCCATCCTTTCAGAAAGGCAAATCAATCCGCTGCCCACCAAAGACTGGCTAGCTTTGCGCCTTCATTAAAGCCCTAAGAGGGGTATTTTTGGTGGTGCACGTATGGGCTGGCAAACCCGCAGTGCGGTCTTCGAGTCTCACAATATCAACGAAGTTGAGGCCTGCCACGCATCTGTTTTGTCGCGTCTTGACAAATGCAACCTGCAAACGCCGAGCATTACGCCTTTTCTTGGAACAGCGACGGGTGTTTTCTCTTTGCTGGGTGAACTTCCGGGAGCAAGTGTCGAACTTCTTTGGCCTGCCGTTTCACACCAATCGAACTATTTCAGCATAATTGACTTCTGCCACTGCGACAAGGTTAGCGAAACTAGCCGAGTAGTTTGCAGCTTTTCGAACGTTAGCCAGGAAAATACTAAATTCGCAATTGATCTCCAACTCATGTAGCAATTCTCGTGTAGCACACACAAGCGTCTCCTCGTTTCTCCTGTAGCGGCAAATAACGATTCAGGCAAGTCGGCTTCCTCTGAAAGGAAACACTCGTGTAGTTCGTGCCCGAATTCATCCCACGCAGTCATTTCCCATGTACGCGAGTCGAATCATACTCAGGATATCCTTTGCAGGTATTTCCGTGCTTTCGGTGTTCTCTGGGCGGTCGCTCAGCCGCAATCCCCATACATCGATCCATTTCTCCGGTCGGGGTTCATCAAACGCCAATTCTAGCGACGTCGTCCAGTGACCCAAGCATTCGATGAATCGGTTTACCAACGTCTCCATCTAGCCAGCCAATTTATCGTTGCCATGGCAATAAAGCAGACTGGTTTAGTTTTGTTGTCGAGTGACAGGAATGAACACTTTATAGCAATTCGCTATACGCTTGTACGTTTGTGTACGTATTTATTCATCATATATACTTATAATAATTGATTGATTACAGTGTAGATTATGAAAGAAAGTGTCCATGGAGGTTAGTCCGGCTTGACAACAGTGTAACAAAGCGACGAACAGTTGTCAATACCTGATTGTATGAGGCTGGTGCTAGATATGTTCCTACCGTCGTGAACACGCGGTGTTCTCGCGATGCCATTCAGACGATTCTGCCAGGTTTGACGAGCTCCTCGTTCTCTATTTTAAAGGAGAGAGTGGCTAAGCGATACTTGCGTGTCGCTTCAAGAAGAACAACCCTTCATCTGTGATTTTCGCTGGTAGGGCAATGCTTTTGTACAATTAATTGTTTGCCGTGTGCAGCTGTCGTAATATATTAAGCGTCATAGATAAAAATACGCGTTTTCTTAGTGCCGTAGTACAAGGTAATGACCATCGCTTTGAATTTTCAGAGCTTCCGTTTTAGAACTAAGTTAGTAAGTGCTTTCAGTTTTGACTAAATCGATCGAAATGGTACGTTTGTTTTCTGGATGAGCACTTGTCTGTCGTCTATGCAGATGAGTATTACGTTTTAGTAAGCTATCGATGCTTTTTTCGTAGCAGTTAGGTGTGTCCAGTTGTATTGATGACTAGTAGTAGACAGTATTTATCAGTTTTTTTTTTTTACTTATTATTGAATAGCTTTTGAGGGCTGTGGGCTAACCTTGGGCAGCACGCCAACTTCGAATCTCCGCAGATTCTGAGCAGCTTTGATCGTTACGATCTCCTAGCCAGATGTGTGAAAGCCGTCAGTGGCATATACGGATCTGTCTATTGTCATGATCTGGTACCGCTTTCAGGATACAAGACTCCTTTTAAGGGAGACCACAGAGACCAGCGGTTGCTGCTTCCAGTCTTGCCAACGACATACAAACTCGAAACATAAGTTACATGAATATAGACAAAAAAAAAAAAAAAAAAAATGTATCCTGTACAGTTTGACTAAACGAACTTAAATAGACACGCTTTCGAGAAGTTTTTACAATTACAAAATCCTGTAGCATTAAGAAAAAATAATTTCTACAGTTGTTTTTTTTTTGAGATATGTCAAAAATATTAAAATTGTTACGGTTCATTCGTGGAGTTATTTCTGTTCAATAATCTAAATTTCAATCCATGCAACTTTTTCTATTGTGGTTTAGAAAAGACGTCAATAACAATCGGGGTCCAATCACTTGGACGAGATCGATGGATGGGATCATGCCAGTGCTGTACCTATTGTAAGACATTGAATAGGAAGGTGCTAGCAATGAGAACTGGGTGTTTTTTTCCGTTGTAAACTTAGATAGCGATCCGCTGAAGTCTATTGTGGAATACTATATACTAAACAAATAGGACAGGACGTTTTTTTTTTTTGTTTGTACTCAGCAGTACTAATGTGACAGAACAGATTGCCAACGGACAAAGTTTTTAAAGATTATAGAAATAGATAATAGAGGAGAAAATCCACATCAGTTCGAATGTACAGATTTTTTACGACGGTACTATTATTCTTAAATCCCTATTTCTGTTTGACAAAACGTTAGGTTCCTTTTTTCGTCATTTTCGGTCATCATCGTGCTCGAAAAAAGAGTACACTCTATACATCCCCCCGATTCCCTTTAATCTGCTTCTAGTGCAGGTTTTCACCTACAGGCCCTCTTCTGGCAGTTATAATGATATATGGTGTTTTTTGCACATGGTGGTTATATATGCCTCGTTGCATATTGAAGGTTTACATGCAACACATTTCATTGGTGGTCTATAAAAATGGATTATATCTGGAAAATGGCCACTATTCGATGCCCAGGTCTGAAACACAACCTACAGCTATTGTTCAGGATCGAACCAAGTTTCAGTGCCTATGGAGGACCATTGTCTGCAGCATTATAGCTTTGTAACAACAAGCTATACTGAAACTTCTCATTAGGTACGACTTAAATCAAATTAACTTATTCCCTGCACACTCAGTAAGAATCATAATACTAACTGCGGCCTTGATATATAAATTCCGATGGACAGATTTCAAATGTTCGTAACCAGCCGTGTACCACAAAAGCTACGTTTATACGTTAATGTATCTAGGTGAGTTGAATCACAAGTAAAATAAATCTCAATGCAAATGATGCAGTGGTCAGCCGCCATTACAGACAAGAGCCTTAGAAGGCGTTTGAATTGGCTTTGTAAGTCTGTGTATTTTATGTATGCATAGATTTATAAGCGTCCCTAGCAATCAACCGGCCCAAGCCAAAAAGGTCCAAAGGTTAGGTCGTCTTACAACCTTGAATTAGCGCTCTATTGATAGATTGCCTCCGTTGACAATGTTTACATTTGCAACGAGGTTAACAGATTTTACTCATACAGCTCATTTTCGCGTAAGTATGTAAGGATCAACAAAGGGAGTAACTCAACAAATATATGTGAGTGTTATGTATTCGAATTGGCCGTTAGCGGTTTAAAGAAGGTGAACTGGTTTGTATCGGTGATAAAAAAGCTAAACGCATACCTCCAGCGTGCAATAAAATAAAGGCTTGAGTTACATTTCTATGCACGATACTGTCGTTACGTGGTAGACTTTCTCAAACGTGACGCTGCTTTCTTAGTTTTCCATCTACATCAGCGTTTATAACTTGTCAATTTTGGCTTTTTGATAAGTTAATCCCTCCATTGTAAAATCTAAAAGAAAAAAGTTTCAGATCGCATAAGTGCATTCTGCAGGATATATATTGTTTATGTCTTGTGAGGTTACTACGAAAACTCTACGATTTCAAAATCTTCACCTGAATAGGAAGAAATTCCAAGCAGCTCAGTTTCTGCACTTCTGCGTTTTGAATAAACGTATAATAATTCAATATAGTTGGCCAGAACTGGACAGTATTGCCTCTATAGCCGTAGTAATTTCGCAGAGTCGGTGACTTATTTTTATTTACCCTACAAATTCTCTAGCTTCGATGTAATCCCCGACGGAAATGTGTATCATGCGTTTTATGAACTTTGTTTAGGCCCACGGTGCATACCTATGCGTACCTATCGACGGTGAACTTTAAATGTGCTATTCCTAGCTTTTCTGTCAACGAGCCATTGCGCCGACGTATGTTTTCTGACTCATGATGAGTCTAATTAACTGTAGTTATAATCTATAATATCTGAAGCAACATCAGGTATAATATCATTGGCAAAATATTTGACACGTTTCGCTAACCTTGAGTGTGTGAAAGTTGTCTATGCCTCACAGCTTTTATTCTGATTGAGTGAAACTCAAGAAATATAATATTTCTAGAGCCTTGCCTGAGGGGCTTCGTGTACCCAGTCAAACTCCTCTAAAGTGCGTTGGCTAACAGTTATACCTTTCTCTGTTACCTCCAGAGTTACTGTTTATCGAACGGAAGGAACATACAGATAGTTCCAACTCTAGTCTTGTTCTCCTGCCTACAACCTCGAGAGGTGAGTGACAAGCACCAATATCCAAAACATGCTCCATTTCACGCGTTCTTCTCTGATAACAGCGTACCGACGCTTCTGTTCTCTTCCTTGTCACTTGCAGCTTCCGTCTTGTGATATCGACTGCTGGTAATGTTGGCCACATACCGGATGCTTTCGTAATGCGTGTATGTGGAGACGCCCGACAAGACCACAGCCCCCATTTGGTCAAGGACAAAACAGAGTATAATTGACGAAAAATTGTATAAATTCGATGGAGACTTCTTTTGGTAAGGAAGATGCACCCGCTGACCGGAAGAGCGTGGGTAGAGGACGATCCGCGCCGCCGGAAACTCCCGATATTTGATGGGAAAACAGGCGCCGCGAATAGAGAAACTGACAGCTTTCTTCGATTTCTAGAAGCCCCTAGTAACAAACCCCATACAACGATCCCCTAAAGCAGCATGAACGGCACAAAAGCAGAGAAGGCCAACCATGTGCCGCGTTTCGTCTTATCTTCGCGTTTCCTGTTGCCTGGACACAGCCTTCTTGTGCCCGTGGGTCATAGCAGTCTACTCTCCAATCGGAGCCACGATAGGGCGACTTGTTCCTCGACTTGCCCCCACGCCTTTCCTTGGACTGCAACTAATAGACTTAGATGAATTGAAGTGAGGACGTAAAGCATTTACATCTGCAAAACCAAAGCCAGTTTTACTGCTGGTGAAACCGTGTTCACTGGAAACTGACTAATTCAATTCAGCGTTTGAACCATCAAACAGTCCATTAATACCCAACTAGCCTCATCGCACACACACTACAGGCCCCGCCTCCATATCATTGCTAAAACTAGAACCCTTCCTAAACACCCCGCAGCAATCTAGTGAACAGCTTGGTTCACGACTCCAGCAGGTAGCTGGATAATAGGACTAAGTATAGAACAGGTACGGCCTATGTGTAAAACTGATACAATAGGAAAACCTTTTTCACCTTAATGATACCTGCTGAAATGTCCTGTCCATTCAAATAAGAAGACGTGACATGCGTTATAATCCAATATAACGTTCACGTTCTGTTTGCTTTTGTGTGTATCGAACAAAATGTATTGTTATTGTCCTTCTTTACTTGTCTGATTTGTTAGCTAATCTCCAACTACGTAAAATCCTACTTTTCACAAAAAAATAATGCTCTTGAGTTTAGTTGGTTTAACCTGTATCTGAATTGGCACGGATCATTTTGTACAAAAGTCCATTCGTTTATTTTAAAATGTGTAAAATCCGCCGACTTCAGCTACTGCCAATTTCGAAAACCGAGATATGCCTCATACCGTACGCCACCAGCCCGTTCAGTCCTATCAGAGCAATTATCGAATTATGACGTTGTTTTCAGTAGTGCCCTAAAAAATCTAAAACATTAACTCATAAAAAGAAAAGCGATCATGTACGTAACATTTTCATATCAAAACCTATTGTAGGCTTGGTATATGACGCTCACGATAATGTGAAGCATATGGCTTTTTTTATATATATGTAGACACTTTTTAAAGGTGTCTACCTACAACCATTCTATTTTTGAAAAAAACAACTTTTTGGTTAAGCCTGATCAAGACAATTTTGATCTTACCGGGGCCATCCGCGATTGCTCATCTAAAAAAACTAAATATTCAATTGTTATTGAGATTTTAAGCCAGTTTACGTAAATTCAGTCCAATTAAAGAGTGAAAGGCATAATAGCTCTTTAATGTTTTGTTTACAAGAAAATGTCGATTCTAGGAACAGTAACTAGTATACATCCGTTACTTATTAAATCTTTTTTCATCGCCAATCGATTTATTGATTTTATGTATCCAATTTAGGGGGGAAACGCGTTAACTTCAGCTAAATTATTGGCACTGAAGTCTATGCCCTTTTCGAGACAACGTCTGTAAGTACCAGTAGGTAGGTATTCAAGTTTACGATTTCTTTTAAAGTCAAAGTCAGTCAGTTTACCTAAAGTATATAAAGTATGTTTCTTTAAAACCATAATTTTTTTCATAGAAAGCACTTATGCTGCCTTTAACTTTTAAGTCTTACTGAAGTTAGCCAGTATCCACCCCCAATGATGATTTGTTGGTGCGATGGCGCCTGCTTCACCCCGATCTGCTAGAACACAATTACAGAAAGCCAGAATAGACAGATATTTACGATTCAGGAAAACCAGGAATAGGATACACGATTAAGTAGTGATAGAAGGATCGCCGTTACTCTATGTTCAGTATGGCGTGCTTTCTTAAGCACTTCCATCATCTCTGCTTATGCGAGGAATAACACTTCTCCTTTATTGTAGCCAGATTGCACAACATAGACGTTGATAATCTGTATGAAAAGGTACTCCTTTCAGCTTGTAGAGGAGCATTCTGTTTATTCATATTTGTTATTCTAACAAAATTTACAGCTGGCTTCCGCTGTGGCGTCTGAATATTGGACCGAGGATGAGGGACCGCGACTTCACGCAAGCAAGCGAATAGTTCCTCGCAGACAATTACTTTGCCACCAACCACCCGCACGTTGTTCCAGCAGCTACGTGCGGAGTTCTCCCCTTCAGCCTCAAAGATCCCAGCCTGCCTGCTTCGCTTCCTCTGTCGAGCGTTGATCCAATTACTAAGCGTTTCAATGAAGATCCTTTGAAGAGACGTTCCTCACGCCGTCCTGGTTGGGTCAATCTGTACGGCTGCACATGTTCGTGTATAGTCTGCGGGTGCTTGCCGCTTAGGGCTTCGGAAGCCAAAGAGGTAAAGGCGGTGCTGCTGAGGTTAAGGGGGCATTTTCCTTGAATCCTTTTGATCAAATTGAAACAGCACCACAGCTAGTAAGATAGAGTAAAAAATAACGAACGGTACCAATATACACACAGCTGGCCAGTGAACGAATCTGCTTGCCATCCAACCACTCCTGGTGTCAGCAGTCTGCAGTACGCCAAGTAACCGAACTGCTTCTGCTCGGTGCCGCCGGATCCGCAATTACTTCTCTAGTATTGTACAACTCTTCTTTCGGCAGCTGCAATGGAAAGACACTAGGTTTGCCGTGGAGGCGGACGGTGTTTGAAAGAGATAGAACAGGAAAAACCTTTTGGTGGCTCATTCATTGTGTTGTTGTGGCTACCTACCGGAGGCACCGCTTGTCCTTCAGGGAGAAGCCGGTAACCGCTTGACCGTTGCTTTGTCGATGAGTGGCGGTATGGGACAGCGGCTGCAGTCAAACGAGTGGGGGCTTCGTTGCTTCGAGCGAAGAAGGAACAATGGAGCTTTTTTCTTGGGCAAGAAATAGTATCGTCCCGATGTAGCAGGACTGAGGGTGAAGAGTGGAATGGGGCATCGTCTCCTCAAAACCTCCGGTACAGCAGCCAGAGTATAGCATTTTGAGTATTTGTACGTATGTATGAATGTGAGAAAAGGGCAATGCGCTCCTACGAACAACTTGAAAAGTTTAGTCTGACAAGAAGTATCGCTGTTGCCTCGTAAGCTTTACCAAGACACTCGCTCTTCTGGCGGTTCCTTTTAACGATTGGATGCCGACGACCGTCTAAAATACGCCATACAAACCCATACAGACAGGTGCAATCAGGAACACAAGGAACTTTTGAATGGAGAAGATTTGCACGGCAATTGTGACTGGCCTGCACGTCTTATCTGGCAACTGTCACGAATGAATACGTGTACGTATGAGTATACTTTGAATAAAGCAAAGGAAAATTCTAGAAGAGGAATATTTGTGAACGTTAACGAAAGAGCGCGTGTACGTGTCGAGTAGGACATAAAGTGACGATAATATATTTATTTGACGAAGATGGTGATGAATAAATATGCCTTGTTACTAAAACCTTATGCACTAAAGCAAACAAGTTTATTGATATCGTGCAGGCGGTGAAAAACAAGTAAGCGGTGTAATTCCAGAGAGGAGCATCAACAGTGGGATTAACTTTTCCTAGTTACTCTTTAGCTATTAAAACAATTAATGTTCGTTTATTTGATTTGTTTCTAAATTTAAGGGCAAAATTTACTATATAAGCGAAAATTAATAATTCCGTGAAATAACTGCTGCAGGTAATATCAGTATCCATTTCCAATGGGTCCGAACGTCGACTATAGTGCATTTTGTTATTTTCAAAGTCTTAAACGATATTTTTTTATAACAGTAAATAAGCTAGCATCAGGACGATATTCGTAGAGATAAAAATACCTAATCCGCTTAGCAGGCGGATGTTGCACTGTTTGTGTCTGAGATGTGTGTTAAATCTATTGAAAAAACACGACTCTGTGCTCCAGTCGTAATACAAACGAAGGAACTCAGCCTGAAACTTGTGTGCTTTCCGTGTAACATGGAGACTTCTGTGTGAGCGTCAGAGAAGCTAAGGAGAGCGTAAGAGATAAACATGCGACCACGCTTCGTATGAGCCTCTGTGCGACCTTTGAATGTTCTGTTTAGAAATGGGACAAATGAAAGACTTTCGCACATAGTGTATGCACAAATTCTGCAGTGTTGGCTCAAGACCATCTGTCCCTAAACAGATAACAGCTAGTAAGTTCTGATGAATGTTCTTCAGCCTTCTAACGGCACTGTTCATTTCTTCCATTGAGCAGACAACTTACACGACTTACTGATACTATGAAATGTTATATATTTAGTATAGCTTCAATTGATTTATGTCAAATTTAAGTAAGTAATAAAAAAGCATACGTGTTTGGCCTCTGAGTTACTCTAAACATCTTTCATCAAAATTCTTCCTTCTACTCATTTTTTTGGGTTTACTATGTGCACACTGCCCTGTTATTCTTCAACATATAGGAAGAGGAATTCGTAATTTTTTTTAGAAAATGTTCCAGTTCTTATAAAGTTCACATTTATCCATTTTGATTATCCATGTATTAAGAATTCAACTATCTGAGTCAAGCTTCCCACCTAATGGGCCAGACAAGACAGATTGATAAACAAAGTTTTCCTTTTTGCAATCAACGATAATCACAGTTGGTACGGCTTGTTCGGCTATCATGTTATCAATCAATTAGTGATTATCGTGTTGCGTCCATTTTTATATGCCCTTCGAAGGCGAAGTAACTATGTCCCTGGATATGTATGTATACATCCTTGAATATGTAAAACACAAACATACAGACACGAGATGCGGCAACAACGAACAATTGATATTTAAAACGACGCCCTACTGTTTTGCTTGTTTTACTAGCGGAATCGTGTGCTGTTCACTCCGGGCCAAATAAAAAAGCATTAACAAATTTTCGCTCACTAGCCTAAAAATGAAGATAATCAGTAATACCTTGTGACTATGCATGATTACATTCGAAAGTACTCTTCTCTCTTCTAAGGAACTTCGCTAATGCGACCGAAACGTGTTTTGGGCAGTAGTCATACTCGAAAGAGGGCAATAATAGTCGTACCATTGGAGATGGTTAAAAGGATTCAGTTTTACGGGGCGGTTGGCCGATATCCATGGTGCGGGCGGGGGTGGGGGGTGGGGGGTGGAGAAGGGTAGCACCTCTAGAAACAACTAATGTGCATGAGGAAAAGCATTGTGCTCCACGGCTCCGGCCCACCCTGTCGCTTAGGCGTCAACAAAGTCCAGGATCAAAAAGAAGTATGTAATTAGCAAAGTGTTATTTAAATGAATCGGTCACAATTGTTTTTATTTCAGCGAACTATTGTGCCATCGAAGACTTCTTTCGAATTCTCGAAAGGAGCCCGTGCGTTCGACCATTGAGACTATGGTCATATCATTAGTAACCTCAAAAAAAAGGAGAGGCAGAGTGAATGAATCGTCGCTTGCCAGAGCGCAAACCATCATCATGTGATTTTCGATGGGGCGTGGTGAAAAGTCGATGTCCAATCGATTTACGTGATTCTTCCTGAAGATTTTTCAAGAATAGCATCCGGATATTAGATATTTAGTAATTTTAAATTGAATGAGTGTGATTTAGTAATTTAAATATCTTTGTGGGTGGCTTGTTCAATTAATCTTTTAGTTGAAAGAAGCTAAAAATCGTTACGTCATCTCCCACCAGTAACACATAGATATTACACGATGTGGGTAAATAAACAAGGTTTTTAATAGATTCTCCTTTATGGCCTGCTTAGTCGAAATAATCCAGGCCGTGTAGTGTGTATTCCAAATCAAAAAGTATACTGCCAATTGTATTTAGACGAATATGATATGTAAGTTCTTTCAGAGCGTCGAAGTATTTAACTTAACTTATCCTCTATCGTATTTTCTTCTTAGCCAAAACATATCATGAAAAAACTAAGTCATCGACCCGAAGTTTCTTTACATGGCAGCCCTATGCGAGACTATATATATGTACACCTTGTAGCCGCCAAATGCATAGATATTCATTGCTTATATAATCATTACATTACGCGTCCGCATGTATGCCAGGCCTTGCCACTAGGAACGCCCGCGGCGTCGGAAATATTCGGAAAACAACATTGCAGATGTCCTGGCGACCTAGATGACGACCAATTCAGTGTCGAAGCTTAACTACTCACTTCTACATATTGGCAGTTCTTCAACAAATACTTGACCCATTGTTACCGACGACCGAGGTCTACCCAAACGGTTATCACTTCACTCATTCGGTGTTACCGCCTCTTGCTCGCAGCCGGCTATAACCTTCTTTTAATATCCCGGTACGGCGTACGATCGAGCCTTATAACCGGCGAGCGAAATTCCAAAACTGCCGTCCTTGACTGCCATTGTTGCTACTATTGCTGGCCTTTCAATACCGACACCAATTGAGGTTACTTGCCTATGGTCCACGAACCGGAAGTTCACGGACGCGCAGCAATTCGTTGCTGCGCCCACTTGTTCTTGCTGTTATTGCGTAACGCACACGCCACAGTTCGGTTAGAATAAAGATGATTCTCTTGAGCTAGCTGAGGCTTGGAAAATCATGTTCAAGTTATAGCCTAAGCATTAACGAGTGTGATGTTGTTTAAGCCTAATCACTTGTGGCGTCGTTCTTCTTGCTATCTGCAACCAACTACGGGCTTACACCGTTTGCACATCTAGTTATTATAGGGGTTCAGTAGAATAATTCCACCGTTCATCGGTGAACGACTCAACAAAATGTCAACCGCAGCTTTAGCTTTGTTGTTGACATCGATTTCCGGAAGAAATAGGTTGTTGATCAGACCACCACATGCTATGTAGCTTGCCTCAGGGCTTTGTATCCCGTCGGCGGTCAGAAATGCTACTACATAAGAGAAGCATTACCGGCTCAATTGTTGATTGCATACTTCCGAATAAGTTATAGCATCGGTGATTATAGCGAAGTTTTATGGTGCACAAGTGGTAAAATTTATCGGTGAAAACGAACGTTCATTTTGGCTCTAGGTACGTGCTATACATTCGGGTGGCATAAAATATTAGAAAGAATTTTTGCAATATAATAAAAAAAAAGACGATATTTGCATTCTTCTACAAGTATCGCCTTCGAGTCTGTTTGTTTAGAGCCATATTATATTCTGCAACGAGTTAGAGAAGGTTCACCTGTCGGAGAAAAATTATGCCGGAGTAGCTTTGTTGCTTAATCCAGATCATGAACCCGTATTGGCTTGTCTAAGTTGTACGATCCTTGAGGCTAGATGCACTCTTTTTCACGGTAATATATAGTCTTGTCAAACAGGTAATGGTAAAACAATAAAGTGACTTGAGATTGCCATCGACCAATTACCTTAGTTATAAAATCTCATATGAGGGTGTAACAGGGTCATCCTCCGTCGGACTTCATCCGAACTGGTAGATTAAACAGTCTTCTCTTGCCGCGGAAATATTGGTTTCTTCATTTTATCCTGCCGAAGCTTTTAACACAAAAGTCCCAGTAGTATTCTACATCTAGCCACAAAAGAGTTTTTGGCCGATTGGCTAAATTCTTGAAATCGTATTATCTATCGCGCCGAGTGCTACCATCTTCAGCTTCGCTAAATGCAACGAAAGCAGAAAAGTTAGCGTATCTAAGCGACCATAAGGCACTCAATCCAGAACCGTCCCCAACCCGGATAAAACAGGCGCACTAATGAAGTTCTGCAAAAAAAAAAAAGAAGTGAATTTACGACCAGAATAGACCCACGAAAGCTCATCTGTTACGTCGCCAGGTTGTGTAAGCATGCGGAGGAGAAACGTCACTCAGCCTAAGGCGAAATGAATAAATTGAGACACTTTCCTGTAGTTAGATTTTCTGTATTTTATGAAGCGAATTTTTAGATCTCTAGGTCATAGCTTTAAGGCTATTGACCCTTGACTCAGTTCGTTGCCGATCTATGCGAGCATATTCATTTGTAAAAAAGCTGGCGAGTGTTTGTGTTATCGATATGGCTACAACGAGGTGTTTTAAAGGCTATAAGAAAATATATACTAGAAAAATGCCTGTAAGCCCGTTGTGAAGTTGTCGTGACTCGGTACGGCCTACGAGAATGGGCAATCGGATGGACATTTCGACTAGAATAAAAATGTTATGTTAATTGTTAACCGAGTCCTAGAGTACAACTTTCTGCGTTAAACCACTGTAAGGTAGACTGCACTTTTCTCTTTCTCCATTTAAATTCGATCAATTTTACAGCCATTGTAGATAACAAAGCTATGATTGATAATCCACAATTTTATGACGCAAGCGGTTTAAACGTCAAACGTTAAACATAGACTATATGTATATGTGTCCTTGAACATGTTTGAAAAGTATATATAATAATATTTACCCAGACTATTTTAATTTATATATATATATATATATATATAACAATTAACTGTACATGTCGGGGAGTCGAAAAAGCTTCACACTTGTCCACTAAATTTTCGAAGTACCGCTCCGTCGTGCTTATGATGGAGTAACTCAGTGTCTAACAGATTCGTGATTCAGTGATAAATAATTATCAATTACATAGCAGACAGCTCAGTTTATAGATGCACGCATTAAAATTAATTGTGTTTCGTCCAAGATAAATAGTCTGATCGTCTGCAACAGAATATGATATAAAAAGAGTTAATGCAAATTTCGATGGAAATCTGTTCGATTGCTAAAGCTTTACATAGACGCCTCGTAGAAGAAGTACTAAAGATTCATTTTTGGCAAGGAGTTCGAAAACATTCGACGCCAATATGTCCGAAATAGCCAAATACATTTGTTGCATAACGAAATATTCAATTTCAATATTGTCAGAGATCGAACTTGTCTGACACCACCATGCCATTAAACGCATCCGTCAACTAATGAGTAAGTAATCAATGGTTGTTGTCCCTAATGAGGTCGACAGGAAAAACCTGTCCACTTTTTATAGACTGCTCTGGCTACCTGGCTAACGCTGAACAAGCAAGTTTAGAGTCTTTCGCTGTTTGATTAAGGCGAATACGCTTCGTATCGCTTTCATCGCTTTTCATTTACAAAATTTCAGTTTGCGAAAGGTCGAAAATTGAAGCCATGGAGGAACCTAACCATCGGATAGCATCGTTTGTTCTGATAAATTTTCTATCGACTTCTGTTCCTGTCTGATCGCCTTTTCTTCTCTACTTCGAAAGGTATAGGCTACTTCAGTTTCAAGGGATAGGAACATTGAGGTAGGAGTTCGGCTGCTGCAGTGGCAAGGTGAGTATGGCGCGGACTCAAAACGATAACGTCTCTAGCTATATTTTCAACAGAAATTCAATGATTGTTTAAAATGACTTAGCGTTTTTATTTTCAGCTTACGGTGTACTAATGTTTTAGCCATGAAACATTGCGCAACTATGAGGCTAACAGAACACCAATGATTCCAAAAGCTGGAAGTTGTGAACCACTTTAGGCCGATGGTCAACAAAGAACGAGAAAAAATAATGATTATGCTCTCCACTCCGGATATACAATAATAGATTGGCAGAAATGGCATAGAGATGACGCCCTGCAGATATATCGGCATCGAAAAGTTTTCGTCCTTGTTGAAAAATTTCGAATGCTTTTCCTTTGTCTAAACTCAGCATTTATTTGTAGATTCTCCTGCAGTCAATGTTAACCTCATAAAGAAATTATAAGCCTTTGAAACCAAATATTATTACTTTTTCCGGAAACGTCGCTATCGAATACGTTCCGCATAAAAACCGATGGTTCTTCTAGAAGGACTAAAATCGTAATAACCATAATTTATACGTCAAATCTGAAAATACAACGGTATAAAAATCTCCGATACGCACATGCCCCTAGAAGATTCGAGGCAAGGATTTTACAATTTCAGATTTTCGCCCTAAACCTACTTTACACTGGAAAATAATCTGCCGTAAAACGTCCTATATTTTGAATGATGTGGCGGAAAACAGAAAGTTTACACAAAATTAACACTTTAACGTACGCGATATAGGCTAAATTATGCATAAAGTGAGCCACAGTCATAGTTTTTTGATACACTACCCTCTTTTTAGATTAGGATATTACAAACGCTGAACCTAGATATTTGTACCATTTCAATTGAAGGTGACGACTTTAAAATGACAACTCAATTCATAGAATATACTTGACTATGCAAAATGTTAGATATCGATTTGCGTCATAAAATTGACTCCCGTAGCCCGTGGTTCTAAATACGACCTAGGTTATAATATCCGTAATGGTTTGGGTAGGTCGTTCAAGCGCGTTGCATCCTATTTGATACAAACTGTTAAAAAAATTCTCACGGACGTTCAGCGAAATTTACACCGAGCCGAGGATTTTTGGATTGTATCGCATTCATCAGTAATTTCAGGTAATCCAAAGTTTATGTTTAATAGATCTATGTTGAAGACAACAGTATTATCATTTAAAGTTCTGAATGTATGCACTTTCATAACTACCCCTTTCTGCCGTCGACATATTCCGTATACTTGGTATACCTGTGCCCGAGTACAATCGTTGTCAGTGCACCACGGTCCAGCGTTAATGAATCATTTAAAAAATAAGACAATTGTTTCGAGGTCATTGAAAAAACAAAGAAGGACTGTTCTTAAGTAAGTATAAAAGACATAGATGCGTATTTTTTTTTATCCGATTCACAGAAAAATGCGTACTTTTAGCAATTGTCCTTATCTGTAGAATGCAGTGAGAGTTATCGAACTCATAAAATACCAACCTTGCATTCGACATCCTTTGAGTCGACGATGTACTAGTCTCTGTCTAGATCTTCAGGGCAGTTTAGGTAAAGCTGGTGATACTCCTGACCGAAACATGGAAAGAGGTAAAGCTGCTGAGCATAGCCTTGCTCAACGAACTCCGACGTGCACAGAGTGATGCGTACGATCTTCAAAAGGACTGCTGGACTTTTATTTGACAAAAAGGTAAATAAATTATAGATTATGTGCTTCGTCATTATAGCTGGGTAAACCAGACAAGAGTGATTACTGTTGGCGTCTTGCAGATCGGCCACTTAAGAATGAGCTGACATCTGATCATGCGCAGGGTCCTAAGCACTCGAGTCCTATCGTGGTTCTGTTTGGGCCAATTATGGCCAATTAGGTTGAACAATATCGCAAGTTTAAATAACGTCATTTTCATTGCCAAGGTAAAAATAATCGATCACCCAATGTAAATATAATCATAAAATTTTTTTAGTCTGTTATAGCGAATTAGATGAAAGGAAAGCATTAATGCAAATGCTCGTTACTATTTGGTGTGAGGTACGAAGCTCTAAACAAATCGGCTCTGGTAATAGCTGCTTTAACAACAGCTTTCCATTCTAATACCCCCTAAATTAATGTGCTATTGTTTACGACGACACCATTCGGGACCCGTGGTTACATGGCACCCTTCAATATTTCATTATCAAACCGTTGAAACAAGTAATATAGTATTCAGATACAATAACGTTTTGGCTTATTTCCATTTTTCTACCTTTCAGAAGCCCTTATAAACATGTGCCTTGGAACCCGTCAGTATGTTCTTTCGAGGGACACATTAAAAGTCTTTACAACAATATAGAATAACGCGCCTCAGATCAATGGGTTTGATAACTTCTGAGTACACATATTGCTACGAATCGCGGTTTTTTAAGCGCTACCCATATGGTCAAGTGGCGATTCATATCTCAATAGAAAGAAACTTCGCTGTCTGAGTTACTACCAAAGTCCGATGCGTCCTCCAAAGATAAGTTCCGTTAACTCACTTATTTGTCACCGGGCAGGTTACATGTACAAGGCTCAAAGTACAGCTTGAAACTTTGAGCAGGAAGCGAAACGCATTACGCTCATGTATTTCGAATAGCCCTCAGATACCTGTTGTGGTACACATTTTCTGTTTTCCCTATTTGAGATAGTAAATTTTTGTAAAAACATTTCAAATTATCGCACGTAGCCTCCATCATAGATGCGTTGCGCTTCGGTGCGCAGAACGGCTATTCTGATTATTTCACTGACATATTCGTGTTTTGTTTTCATTGGCCTATAATCTTTAGCCGCCATATTACAGGATCAACAAATTTGTTATCTTAAGTAAAAATGTATGTGCGGTCATTTCGAAATTTAATTCTAATAGTGTTGCATATTTTTAGGTCCAGGTTTGGCTTAATGGGAGAGAAAAAAAATTGTTCCTTAATCAATAGGTATGTCAAACAACTTATAATTGGATAGAATTTTAAAGATTCACTTACTTCTCACCTTGAGGTAGCAGAAGCGTCATAGAAGGGTATCAGGCTAACGATAAGACATGCATTGCTTATTTGCAATGCAAGCACGGAGCAAGTGATGCAGAAGAGCGGGACACTTGACACGGTATTACAGGATCACAGGATCAATAAAATTGGACGCTAGCAGCGAGATAACCGTATTACTAAGGTAAGTTGCTCTAACACGCCAATGGCATAAACGAGCGAACTTACCGAAGGAGAAGTTGATGGAAAAAAGTGCAACCGGAACACTGTAGTAAGACAGCAAAGTGGACCCAACAAGTTTAACTTATAGGGTGATATCATAACTGTAACAAGTTAAGGTTCGGAAATCGGACTCAGTAGATTTGAACTCGCTTTATATTAAGTAAGGAGAACGAGCGGATTCAAGTTGGCTCGTATCTGCCGTGTATGTGCGGTACCGATTATGCACAAGAATAAGTTTACGGGCAGAAATGTAGGCTAATTTCATACATGTGTGTGTGGGGGGCTTTTTGTCATCATCCAGGTGGGGTGGGCACGACCAATCCGGAGTTCTTTATAGTCATGATTTTACTTTTTCCATTTTTTTTTATGCGTGTGTCCATAAATATCAATTAATCGCTGTGCGGTACAGCATGCCTATAAACATGTAAATTTTTCTGTAAAAAAGTATCGCCTTGTAACTTGCGACTAATATTAATTAATTAAAAAACTACATGTACAGCGTATCTCAAGAATGGGTAACACTTCTTTCTACATACTCAATAGAAAAATGCGAAAAGCCCTAACTGAGTTATTAAGCTATTAAAAATGACCCAGAACCAGAACACGTTTTGTAGAAAACACTCGAGGAAACCCGTATTTTATAATATATTCCTCGGCGGTAAGGTCGGCAACAATCTGAACGTAATTCTGAAGGCTGAAGGCTGGCAGCGTGTGAAGATTGACTTTGCGCAAGCACTTCATCGTAACACTTATTCGATACTCTTAACTTGGTGATGGTGTATTTAGAGGTATTACCTTAACATTATTAGCTGTTAAAGACTTGTTTTCATTATGAACATTTGCTTATTTTTCGTATTGCCATCAGTTGCTACTGGATCACTGTACTACACTTGTGCCTATCGTGAGAGCATTTCCAGATATCACGTCCTACACCGTTCGTGCATTCATTCAAGGCCTTGTGAGTCAGGCTTATTATTGTTAGTTTAGCTAGTAATGTAAAATACAACACAACATACAATGAAATGTAAAACGTTGAACTGTATGAACTGATGACTAATAGTCATTAAGGACAATGGTGGTAGAGGTGGCGCCACATGAAGTTGCAGGCCGAAATCGATTCCATCAAACGACCCGGCGGTGGTAATTCAATGAAGTCGCTGCATAGGATACACCACGCACATATACAAAACATGATAGAAGATTTTGTTCACTTTAGCAAACATTTTCTGGCTGGAAGTGCAGTAGATTTAAGTCCACACGTAAACTGTTTACAGATGGTAGCTTATGCGTATGAGAAAATTAGATTAACAAGCTTCAGGCTGCCATTTGTGAATACCAGGTTCTATGAAGGATAGCTACGAGTTTTAGGCCAAATACAAGCGACAGTTAGCAATATGTCAGTATTGCGTGCTCGACAGCGATGCATCTTTCCTTCTTGTTAACCCTCAGCTTGGCGAGCCTTTCAAGCCTGATGGCTTTTCAAGTGTCTCTAAATAACACAACCGTTGGGGCAGAGTGTTTATGACCGACATAATACTCGTGCAGACGGAAAATAGCTCGGCAGTTTCGACCATGTCTGCTAATAGGCTGTCTTAAAGCCCGATCATTAAGTCACAGCTTTTATATCACTTTTCAAACCCTGACTGACCATACTGCCCAGTTGATAAAAATAAAACATCTATAAAGCAAAAATTCCTTAAATATTATAAAACCCGTCGGTATGTGATGGATCAAGGACTTAGTCTTCGTCAAAACGACCATTGAAGGTCTGTCTCATTGCTTGAATGTTAGATGATGAAATAAAGACGGCTTTTCTCGTATTTTATAAATAAGTCTGAGCCTAAAAGTATACGCCGGTTTATTCGACCGAAAAAAAGATAATGCTTTCAAGCCGAACCTCTTAATTACAATACGGTATATCTAATAGCAAATTGTAGTCAGTCATAGGTCTTTGTTTGCACAAGTCGCCTTGTGAACTTGACTCAGCGTGATAGGTACGTCACCTAATGGCAGTCTCCTGCAAACGAGAAGGCTTAAGGACATCGATTATTTTCTTATGGTATTTTCGTCACTTTCACTCTATCAGTAATAAACCCGTTCGGCGCTGATGTTGGAAACCTAGGCAAGCTGAGAAGAATCTCTCTGAAGTAATGCCCTTAACGTATTCATGTCCATTCTAGTGACAGAAACCTATTGAGAACTGTGTGCGCGAATAGTCCAATATTATAATCCTTAATATTTGTAAAACAAATTTTCTTTTATAATCTGCCCGTTTCAATGTATCTTAGCGGAGCATGCGTCTATCGGATTGCAATACGCGGCAAAATAGATGTTTTTGCAGGGATGCAGAAGGTATTTTGTGATATTACTTGTTGATAACAATGCTCCCAGAGACTTATACCATAAAAGGCTTGCTGCCAGTTCTAAGATATAGTTCAATTTGTGATCAAGTGGCTGAAACCACAACCATCTTATATTCTGACTAACCTGTAACTGGTAAACAATAACTGAGGAACAACACCCTGCCGGCGAAAGTTGGTCACTAATTCGTAACCTTATTACAAAACAAATTTTATGAGTCATACTCTTTGTACCTATCCAACTGATTTTCTTTATTAAGTCATAAGTTAGTGAAACAGTTAGTAAAACGAGTACATGAATTCGTATTTTCAGTATTGGACCTTTGTAACTGAAACCACTTAGCGGCAAAAATTTGTTTTCATCGTAATTCCACCATTTCTCGTCCTGTATTATGTCCAAATTCAAATTCTCGACCCAAGATACAGCTGTCGGACTAATTGAAAATATGAGAACTACAGATATGGTTAAATGAGGCTATGCTAGAGCCCGTGCAAGTAGTATACGCACAGTGATCTTCCACATACGCCATTACTTTGCAAGCAATAATATCCACGTGCATCAGCATGTTTGCTATTAGTCCAAAGCAGACGATTATAGCCTACATAACGACGAGAGAGAATACTAGGAAATTGTGCTATGTTGAAGTCTGTTTGCCTTCTCGCCGTCTCTTCAAATGCTACTGAAATCTCGAAGCATAAAGAAGTGGCACTTCGTTATTTACGAATGGCGCGATGATGCCCATCTTTCTGTACACACTTGAATTTTGAGACGCTCAGCGGCATAGCATTTTAACATAGTTCAACCATGAGCTGAAATAGTAATTAAGCGATGTAGTATCATGTAAGCAAATCCACAGCCTGCAAATCTTCGTAATGAACCTTTTCTCATAAGTCGGACGATGGAATTTTCCTGGTGAAGACGACGTGAGAAGTGATTTAATCAGAGAATAACACCGCTTGCATATTTAATTAGGGCAGGAGCAACACCCTTCGAAGTACTAATGCCAGCAGTGGGGTCATACTATACAAACGACCCCTTCCCTCAGCCATCACTCGCCACCCTGTTCGTGAAAGCCGTTCGCAGCCGCTCGCGAAGGACAACATACGCATGCACAACAACGCCACCACCATCATCATCAGTGTCATAATACACTGCGGCAAAGGCGGAAGCAACAGTCGTGCTTGTCAAGCCCGGATCAGGACTTAGATGCAGCGGCCGGCAACAGTCAAACACGCAAAGGGGCTGCCTTCTGCTAGAAGATCTAATGGAATCGTGCGTGCGTGCGTGCGGCGAGCGTCCGCAGTACACAGTCGTACAGCAAACGTCTGCGTGGCTCCGCTTTTACGGGAACTTCGCAGTTCGTCTTTTTTTTCACTGAAGCTATTCAGCTGCGGACTAGCAGAATAGGGAATAGAAACAGAATAAGAATCTTCAGTTCATGAACAACGTATGTGGGCAAAAATGCATGGGTGGGAATCCAGTGAATTCCTGTTGCTGTCACAACGAGGCAGTAACAAAAAAAACACCGAAAGCAGTTAGAATTCCTAGACTTCGTTGGGCTAGAGCTGGCCGCAGAAACTTCAAGCAAGAAATTTACTTTTTTTTTTTATCGTACTGTTAATTACTAACCAGTTATATGCACATTAAATGGATGAACTATCTTTAGCTGTCTCACTGTTTAGTGGACCTATACCTACACATGTTTAACGTTAAGGTTAATAACATGATGCTATCTGTCTAGTGTTGCACTAGTATGGCGCGTACGGCATTGAGTCTTCTATATTTTTACCTTTTTTTTTTTACAAATTTATCTTATGTTCAGTCTAGACTATGCAAGCGGAAGATTCTTCGACATCTACCGAATTTATATAGTATAATATATATAATTGAATTGCCTGGGTGTGCGTAAACATTCGTTTTGGCACCATACAGTTCCCAATTCTATATCAGACGACGCCGTTACCGTACCCCCGTTTGTAGGTGCAGACTAATTAAATATTTTATGTCAATGTTGTTTACGGTTCTCGTTGAATTATGTCAATATCATGAAGTTCGTGCTCTATTGAGGGCGTTCTACAGTGGCCACGAACGCTAAGTTAAGCAAATGAGCCATGCTGCTGGGACAACTTTAAATTCAGGATGTGAACAACGATGTCACTTGTTTCTAATTGTATATTTTGACGGCTAGTATTTAATAGGTCGTCAAAAAGTCACTGACCGCCTTTCCATAGTTAAACATCTCATTAAGGTCATATCTCAGGTCGTGTGGGTTGCGTTGTCGTTAGCATCCCCTGATATTTGACAGGAGTAGGTGTGTTAACACTGTTGGAGTGCCTTCATTTAAGCTCGTAATACAAAAAGATGAGAAAAATTCACGATATATAACAATTTATTCTGTTTGTTTTTAGGTAGACTAAGATAAAGGCGCAAGATGTTCAAGCCCGTAAAAAAAACTGCGTTATCTGTGGTCATGGTGAGCTTTCGAGAGAAACAGCTCAAGGATGGTTCGGCCCCTTTCGTTCTGGAAATTTCGATAGGAAATCTGGACTCGTAGATAGCTATGGCGTCGATACGGAACTAAACATTTATTATCAAACATTTTTTATATATTTGGATAAAGCTCAACAGGAATACAATGAAACAAATTTATTTCCGAAGCGGTTAACCGCTATGATGAAAAGTGGATCACATACGATCATGATGCGTAAATTTAAAAAAATAATAATAAAGGAAGTGTTCCATCATCTGTATCAAAGTCCGACTGACGCCAAAGAAGGCGATGTTACGTATTTGGTGATATTGGATAGGGTTCGTGCGTTATGAGTTGCTGCCCCTTGTCAAAACGATCGATTTGTGCCTGTCTACTGTCAACAACTAACAAGATTACAACAAGCCATTAAAAAATCGACCGGAACTAGGTAGCAGAAAATTTATGAAGCTAATCTCCCACTATAACATAACCAGATTACATGCATTTTTAGCTACCTAGCAGAAAATTTTCAATCGCATTTTATTTGTTTACCTCTGCTTTTAGTAGTGAAAAACTTCACAAAGCACTAGTAAGCACAGGTCAACCACATAATGTCCCAATATTAGTGAGAGTATACAGAACTATTTAAAAGAGTACGCGTTATGTGGGTTACACGAGCTTCGTTGAGTTTATAAAATTGGATTTGTCGGATGTTTTGCCAGATGGTGAGGGGTAACGGGTGACATAATATCTGTCGCAATTTCCCCCTCATCTAAGGTATCTGAATGTAATGTCAGCCTTGTGGAAACCTGCTTACCTGCTGAGTCTCGTGTGAAATCAATGTACGGCCAAGCGAATGACAAGCTGTAAGTTCAACCGGTTCGTCTCCTTCCATGTATTGTTCCCTATTGCACTCGAGGCAAAGAAACCTTTATCAATCTCCTTGTTTTTGACTCGCAATTCCTAAGGTTCGTCTTAAAGGCTTCGTTTACTGAAAGCTCAAAGCGATGACGTACGCTCTCGAACAACAACGACAAGTCGGCTAAGGCGTACGCAAGACAATTTCGGCTCACTATGTATAGTCTCAGTGCTTTCTTCGAGAAAAGGAGTCTCTGTTGCAGTTTGCTTCGACATTTTTACAGTAAGATCTTCTCAACACATATCCCATACGTTGCTGCGATCGGAGCTTAGAACTAGTGTGAGGACAAGCGACAAGATGGTCTTATCGCCCAGCCAGCCAACACAGCCTTTCCTGCATCTTTCGGTGACCTGTGTAGGGAAACTCGGAACCGGCAAGAAACGATCTGGTGAGATCAAGGGGTACACGGTATCTGTCAGTGGTCGCTGTTTTTCCTCGTCTTCTAAACTTTATCAATTTCCATCTCGATCAGTTTTACGATCAGTCCCAAATCTGTCACCGACGCATAGAGCAGGGCTTGCTGCATTTGGCTTCCGTTCGAACCATATATCACTTAATCCTTTGCATACAAAATGATTTCGACCGGTTTCCTCAACCTTTTTGCCTGGTTACTGAGGCTGAATAAGGGTGGGCTTAAGTTGTTTCCCTAAGCCAGGCCGATTATCTGTGTAAAGGACGGGGGTTTGGCCACTCTGTCGCCAATTGCTATTCTTTTCTTTTGTAAAATAGCAGCGAGGTGGTTGAGCACATCCATAGGGACAGCTATTTTGGTCAGCGTAAGCATGATTTTGTTCCTGGGCGCCGAGCCGAAGGCTATTTTGAGGTCGACGAATAGCACGTATAGCGGATTATGCGGCGTGACCAGTACTGTCTTGACGTCGGGCGTTAGAGTCCTGCGCGCTGTTTTTGTGGAGCGTTCCCTTCGGAACCCATGTGGCTCACTGAGATGACGTGTACGCTTTCTAAGTAGCTGTTTCAGTCTCTTAGTCCAAGCTAGAGCTGTTTATAATAAAACCTTTTTTGCTCGCTATTCCCCGTCATAATGAGAGCACAGTTGGGTCGTTCTTTCCTTTAGGGATCACTAAAACGGTAGCATCTCACCATTGGGCTGGGAGCGTACGAGCATGTAAACATTTAATAAATGGTGTCGTCTAGAACGGTGCCAGGATGACGGCGCATTTCAGATGCTCGTTGCAGACTCTATCTGGGTCGGAGGCTTTGTCATCGCACAGTTCCTGGACCGTAAAGTCTTGCTGAAAGATTTCGCGTTGTATTGAGATCCCCTTTTCTCATGCTGCGGTAAAAGGGGTACTGCACGTTGTATCGTATCCTTTAACCCATACAACCCCGAGAAGTGATTTGCAAAGGATAAGAGGTTCATCGGGCAAATCGGTAAATTTCCGCGGTGCGTTAGCCACTTTTATAATTTACTCTTTGAATCGACCATCAAACGGGTCTTATTCCTCAACAAACTGTTTTAAAATGAAAGCCGAAGAATAAAATTCGGATTGTAATTCGACTATAATCCTGAAGGTCATCTGAGGCCCCCAAGCAAGAATGTGGACTAGAGTTGAACCAGGACCTACGCTTCCGGGGACAGAAGGAAGGGTGTACTGTAAACTCGAAACTAGAGGTTAGGCATAAGTCTCCTCGTCGACTACGTCAGGTGCGGGGAAAACTTTGTGAGCATATTTTAAAAGTTTGTCTTCTTTCACGCGTCGCAACGGACCTGGCAAAAATTAAAGACAACATGGATAATAAATTTTAACGCATCTTCCGTATAGGTCGGATCATGCATCATCAAACTGTCACATGTTTCCATTTCTGCAAAATTCCTTTAATAATGTTCATTCCGTTTCTATGAAAATGTATAAAAATCACTCGTCACCATTTTTCGCCCAGAAATTACAGATTTCTCAACAGTGATAGGATTATACCAAAAGGTGATCGATCAAAGTAGTGTATATTTAGCCTAATAATATTATTTTATAACGTAGCAAAAATATTTGCTTGGCAATGTTATCGAAGAAATAGCCAACAACTTTCTGACAAACCTATCTATTTAAAGATGGATGAGTCAAGCCACTTTGTCGGCTAGGGGGACTGCGTCGACTGGGATCGTATTCTACTTTGATCCCGCATTACTTCTATGCTGGTCAATTTTATAAATAATTTTAATAAATAATAATAGCTGTCGCCTTTCCGAGCAAAAGAACGTAGAAGAACCCCGCCTACAGGCATCTTTATTTGAAGATACAAACATACATGTATAGAACCGGCTAACCTAATTGAACACTATACACGGTTAATCCGTTCTAGGAACAATTTGCGGCCAGTTACGGCTATGAACGTGTATACAGATTTCACGATGCAACGGATTTTTCTTTATGATGATCCCTTTGAATATAAAGGTTCTGCTCTCGTTATCTGCCCTATATCCATATGGCGGAAAACAGTATTTACTCCGTATCACAACGTTAGGCATATGCACAGCTGTGAAGCACAGTAAGCCAATTGTTAAGGTAACCTCGACAAGTATGCGAAATTTTTACAGATTTTCAGAAAATTTCATTTTGTGAATTTCGACCCAAATGATGATTGGTCCCGGCATTTGATGATATATTGATATCGAGTTGACGTATCGTTAAATGATAGGATTACCAGCCCATCACTGTGTCTGGTACCGAAATTCGACGCATGCGCTTTTACCGCTTGTAAGCCGAAACGGTACTACCAAATCTATATTTCTATAACCTTCACTCCGTTTGTTACTAACCGCATCATTTTCTCATTATGCCTCTGCTAAAAGAGAGATGGCACGAGAGCAAGCACAATTCGTTTGCAGACCATTGTTGAAGCGGGCAGTGATCTGTGTACCAAAAGTTGAAATTTTCGTTTAGGTTTCGTGAAATTTAATCTCGGCCAAACCGTCCGTCCTAGGATTTGCTGCTATTAGTATCAGCCATGATTATTACTAATGCAATATACGGAAATTAAACATATAATAAACCCCATTTTTTCTCGTTTGTCTGCATATATGGCCGCACTTTTTGATAGTCTATAGGCTTTCATGTATATTTTGTCGGCATTTTCGATGAATAACATCGACGATAAACAGTCAAAGATTTTGCTACTTTTTACCAGATTCTGTACCACCGGAGAGAGATAATAATTGATTCAAAACGGAATACTTCCTTTAGTTTATCAACGTCAGCAGAGGTACGAATGGGTAACTAGCGCTTTTTTTTTCTGCTTATTTTGCCGTGTTTCTCTCCTGTAATGGAGCATCGAAGTGTTCTGATAACCTCAAGATCATAGCAAACACCCGCCCGCTATTCCCTGAGAGACCACCTTGAAACGAAAGTGCGCCTCGCCATCAGAATAAGCTACCTAATCATAAATAAGTGAGGCATATTGCTTTACTCTCCACAGAGTGCCAGCAGAACCTCACTTTCATATAACACAACTTCTACTACTTACATCTATGGCCAATACGACTTGCCGGTTACCTGCATTTTCCAGAAAAATATGACTACCGTATTACCATCATGTTCCCTCAAGCATCGACCACAAGGCCACATGGTTCCTCTTACTTAAAGACAGAAAATTCTCCATTGTTTATCGTTAAAATACGCCAGGAAGTGTTAAAAAAAAACAAAGCATATTTCCATTTAACTTGCCTTTCTCTAATATTCTAGGTTCTTCTAGGCATTATAGGTCCATTCAGACATAACAAGAACTCAAACGAATCTTGATCATGTTAGGCCTTTCTATATAACTACAATTTGTCCTTATAATTCGGTATAACGATTCAGGTCTTACGTAGACAAAGGCTGTGTTATTCAATCATTAACATTCTTGGATGGCAGAATATGTCTGAGTGTGCTTCGACAGTACAAAAGATTCATTATTTATTTACACGGGTTGTGTAGTACAGTTCTGTATAATTATATTAGTATGTACAATAGATCGAATCAATGTCGATCGAGTTCTGCAGCAATCAATATAAGATCGATTTTAGAAGTGTCTCTTGGCCGACCTAACGCAAGATGCATTGTTCCAAAAATGGAACTCACGCTCGGGCTCACAGTTTGTCCTCTGTTAGGCTTGCAGGACAAATAGATACCGTCGTATAAATATTCAACGGTGTTTAGCTAAACACGTGTATGTGCGACTACGCATTGTAGTAAGATGCATCTGTTCGCTTAAAGACATCTTTTTATAAACATCATCCTCAAAAAGATTTTTCGTTGGTATCAGTAAATAGATGTCCTTCTGTGTCATCCAGGTAAGTCTAACAACTTTATATAGCATTTCTGATACAAATGTACCTTTACTCTTGGCACACAACAACACAAAATTTTAGGAT